TTTTCATACACCCCGCTCATTTTCGTAGAGCGGGAAAATGGCCCCTCCCAAACCGTCCATGTGACTCAGCCACTGAAACACCCACACAAAACATCCCATGCATTCATGACTCAGTCTGCCTTTGTTTTTTGTTGAGTGGGCATCACCCCGCGTGTTCTTCCAAAACATTTCGTAATAGTCCATTGTGTTTTGTGCTTGTTTATTAAGTGCGACTGCTAAATAAACTACCATGGGACTAAAGAAAGTTTCAAGAGCCAGCCCTTTGATAAAGAAGGCAAGAAGCACAACAGAATTCAAGAAAGAACTCATAGCAAAATACGAAAGTGGTGTATGCATGGCCGATCTCGCCTGGATGTACGGAAGTAAAGTGGTCCCTCATCATCCTTTATCCGTTCCTGGAAGTGGGACTATTATCGAAATAGACGATTTTTAAATCAATTTTCCCCATAAGAAATAATGTAAATACAATTAATCCGTTCCTGACACCCAGAAGTATTAAAACAAAGAAATTTTTTACATGAAATATAGATGTAGTACATAAACAATACAATGGGAAATAATGAATGAAACATTAACAGCATAACACTTACCTTTATTGGCGATTCTTCTTAGTGTATGGAAGACTGGAGGAGGAGAGAGATTGAATTACTGTTTGGAAGGGGAATTCCCTTCCATCAACACCTCGGGTACCGAGTGCTTTTCTGGGTTTACTTCTCTTCTCTGTTTTTTAATGCCACTAGGACCAGCTTGAGAGTCACTGGAGTCCTGACTCGCAAAAAAACTGTCAAGAGAGCTCTGTTTCTGGCGTCTCTTTAAAACTTCCCTAAAATGGGCCAAGACTCTGTCACTGTACAAGTTGCCGATATGGCTTGCAACATCCTTCTCAGGGTGATGTTTCTCCATAAATTTTTCCATCCTACCCCACATTTCAAAAATCTCCTTAATTTCTGAAGAAGGCACCTTCTTCCATCTCTCTTCCTCCTCCTCTGCAGCAAGATTCTGAGCTGCGATGTGTTGCTCTTCCTGCTGAAGCTCTTGCAGTTCCTCAGTGGTTAGTTCTTCGTTGTGGTCCTCCACCAACTCTTCCACGTCCTCCAAACTCACATCCAACCCCATGGAACTCCCCAGTGCCACAATAAAGTTCACAACTGACATAGGCTCATCAGGGGCTGCCTCAAACCCTTCAAAATCCCTCCTGTGCACACAATCTGGCCACAAGTTTCTCCAAGCAGATTTTGAAGTCCTGGTAGTCACTCCCTCCCAAGCCTTACCTATAAGGCTTATGCAATGGAGAATACTGAAGTGTTCTTTCCAAAAATCTCTTAGGGTCAAGTGAGTGTCTGAGGTCACATTAAAGCACCTTTCAAACATTGCTTTGGTGTAGAGTTTTTTAAAGTTTGAAATGACCTGCTGGTCCATGGGCTGGAGGAGAGGAGTGGTATTCGGGGGCAAGATGAACCCAAACTCCGTCAGAATTAGGTCATCCATGTTTGGAGGATGAGCAGGTGCATTGTCCATTACTAGGAGGCACTTGAGATCCAATTTCTTTTCCAGGAAGTAATTCTTCACACTAGGGCCAAACACTTCGTTGAACCGCTCGACGAAAATTTCCCTCGTGACCATGCCTTATTATTAGATCTCCAAAACACACACAATTTACTCTTCATAACATTGTTTTTCTTGAACACTGGGATTTTCAGAATGGTACACTAGTAACGGGTTCACTTTGAAATCCCCACTAGCATTAGCACAGAACATGAGCGTCAGCCTGTCTTTCATAGGCTTGTGTCCTGGCAGTGCCTTTTCTTCCTGAGTAATGTAGGTCCTCATTGGCATTTTCTTCCAAAAGAGGCCTGTTTCGTCACAATTGAACACTTGTTCAGTCCTTCACTGTTTATGTACTCCTTGAATTCCTGCACATATTTTTTGGTCCCAGCTGGCAGCCTCACCATGCCTTATCACACTGTGTATGCCAGTACGCTTCTTAAATCTCTCAAACCAGCCTTTGCTGGCCTTAAATTTACTTACATCACCACTAGTTGCAGGCAATTTCTTTACCAAATTGTCATGCAACTGCCTAGCCTTTTCACAAATAATCGACGTCATAAGACTATCTCCTGCTAATTGTTTCTCGTTTATCCACACCAATAGTAACTTCTCAGCATCTTCGAGTACTGGTGATCTCATTTTTGTCAGCATATTTACCCCTTTTGCAACAACAGCTTCCTTGATTTCCTTTTTCTTGGCTATGATGGAAGATATGGCTGTACGGGATTTGTTACACATCCTGGCCAGTTCGCCCACACGTATGCCACTTTCATATTGTTCAATGATGTTTTTCTTAAATTCAATCTTTACCAAAGGCTTGGTGCTAGGAGCTTTCGTTGGAGCCATGGTAGCTTATTTAGCACTTGCAAGCACTAGAATGAATGGAATATTATGAAATATTTTGTATGAATACGTGAGGGGACTGTCGCTTACTGGTAAACAATGGCACACTGGCTGGGAAGGGAGGCCGACGCGGCTCAGAGCCGTGAGTTCGCATCCAGGACGAAAGACGGTTAGCGAGTTAATGGACCATTTGCGAGCCAATGTTTAGATGAAATTACGCGACTATTTCCGAAATCGACGACTTTCAGGCCGGACTATTATTGAGGGACCACTGTACATCCTGGTAAGATGTACTTCCCCTATCTGGGGAAGTAACCCCAGATAGGGCCTTGATACCTGAAGTCCTTATGGAAGGGGATTCCCCTTCCAAACAACCTCTCATCCTCCCTCTCCCCTCCTCGCCGTCTTCCATATTCCAACAAGAGTCTTCAATAAAGATAAAAGTGATATTAAATGTTCATTTATCCATTTCATTAGTCATTTATATTTATTTCTCATTTTTTTTCTGTATGTAAAACTATAGTTATTCTCTATAAAATGTATTTTATGTTAATATTTTTGGTTGCCTGGAACAGATTAATTGGATTTACATTATTTCTTATGGGATATGTTGCTTCAGTTTTCGTATGATTCGGTTTTCGTGAGACATTTTAGAACAGATTAATCACAAAATCCGAGGTTCCACTGTACTATACAAATGATTTCTTGCATAGTTAACATTCATATAAATATTAAATCCTACTGTTTTTTTCTTTTCAATGGTTTCCACAGTATGCCTTTTTCATTTATGACGATGTTTTAATCCTATGTATTTGGTCCAAGTCAGGCGGAAACATTGTCATGAGCTTCTCTCTCCTGTGTACGGGTTATTTGTGAATATGACTGATTTATACTGTGTCTGTGTAATAGTTAATACTTCAAGGACATCAGTGGAAATAAATCAGTTTGATTTTTTCCGTTATCCTAAGTAATTTACGCATAAAGTAGACAATTGTAATCATCCAAAGATTGTGTAATTGTACCTGAATACAGTGGACCCCCGGCTTACGATATTATTTCATTCCAGAAGTATGTTCAGGTGCCATTACTGAACGAATTTGTTCTCATAAGGAATATTGTGAATTAGATTAGTCCATTTCAGACCCCCAAACATACACGTACAAACACACTTACATAAATACACTTACATAATTGGTCGCACTGGGAGCTGATCGTAAAGCGGGGGTCCACTGTAAACTTATTCTAAAATTGTGATACATTAACACTTTGTTTCTTTCTGACATGTGTTTTAGCACACCAACCATGATGAATGTATGGAAGTGGTGGATGATGGATTGGCAGATTTAGTTATGCTGGATCCACATGAAATCTTCATTGCTGGTCGCTATCACTCGCTTGTTCCCATCATGAAGGAATCCTTTGACAGTAAGTGTACTTTTTGTGGATATTAACTGTAATCTAGTGCTGACCTCATGGTTCCTAGTTTTAACATGAACTGAACAAGGCTTTTTTGAAAGGGTCTGGTGAATGATGGTGAGTGTCATAAATGTGCGGCTTGATAGGCAACTCCCTGGCCTCATGCACTGAGTGTCTTTGGCTGAATCCCCGACTGAGTGGAATTGATGGGCATGTTTCATTACACCTGCTGTCCCTGTTCACCTAGCAGTAAGTAAGTACCTGGGTGTTAGTTGACTGGTGTGGGTTGCATCCTTGGGGAAAGGACTGAAGGACCTCAATGCAAATAAGAGACGGTCCCCAATGACGCACTGACTTTCTTGGTTATCCCGGGTAGCTAACCCTCCGGGTTAAAAATCCAAACAGGGGAGACCAAGGCACTTGGAGTCTGGATTAGATATGTATCCCAACTCATCTGGGCTATCAAAATTTGCCTCTGTATCTTAACTCACAAAATCATATTAACACGATTGCAAACCTCCGTGTGGTGTCTAGAAATATACCTAGTTGAATGAATCTGGTTAGAACTAGCTGGCTGAGTGATTAACACACTGGCCTGTGAGTTTTATCGCTCGTTGCCATGGGTTCCAGACCCACTCGTTCTGTGATTTATTCTATACCATAGGTTAATAAAAGCGAATGGTAGAGTATGTAGGCGAGAGAGAGAAAGGAGCTAGGCTGCTGTGGTTAGGTAGCACCACTTCAAATGTTTTTCATAGTGTTCAGCTGAGCACTGTAAAGAGTGAAACCAACTTGCCATAGCCGGCAGAACCTCCTTAAAACCCTCATTCATCTTTCACGGTGGGCAGATTGTAGAAGTCTTTTTCAGCTGCATTCAGCCCTAATTTTATAGATACTAGATCACCTATAAAAATTTTTGGTTAAGTAGGTAGGCTTGCAAATGAGCAGACCCAGAGTTCTTATACACGTCCACTCCCCTCAAACACCCAGCCAAAGTTGACCAGAAATTCTCTTCATCTATTACTGCTTCACCTTTGCATCATTGATTTCTGTTTTGCTGAGCACAGACAGTTTCCCATTTATTGTGCTGTAGCTTCATAGTTGTATGATCTACACTGGTTTAGCACATTTTGAATATAATTTCATATAGCTTGTTAGGCTTATTTCCATTTGATCTTGTGTGAGCATGGACAAGATTAAAGATACAATACTATAGGTTGTTTAATTTTATACAAAAATCTTTCCAATAGGATCATTAACCCTTTCAGGGTCCAGAGGCCATATTTCAAAGTGCACACCAGGGTCCAAGAATTTAAAAAAAAAAATTTAGTTATTTTTTCTTATTAAATGGTAGAGAATCTTTTTCTGAAGGTAATAAAACAAAAAGTACGAAATTTGATGGAAAATTGACGAAATTATGCTCTCGTGAATTTTGATGTGTCAGCAATATTTACGAATCGGCGATTTTGCCGACTTTGACTCCCATTTCACCATTTTAGGCCAATTACATTATTCCAATCAACCAAATTCTTAGCTATTTCACTAGTATTACTTTTATTCTATCGATTGAGCACAAGAAATCGCCAAGTCAACTGTTTCAACTACAAAATAAAGTGATCGGAAATTGGTAATTTGGCCAATTTAACACAAAGTTCAAAATATTCCAATTTCAAAATAGGGTCCAGAATAAACAATGTAGGTATTCCTGGCACTAAACTAACATTTCCTCTGTTCATTAGTTACGTTTTGAGGCTTTACAAATGAATTCCATTTTGATTTTTTATTCACATAATGAATTTTTATTCAAACCAAAAAAATAGAAGATTTACTGTTATGCAATATTGTAATAATTGTATAAATATCATCACCACATTTGTGAATGTATATTAGACCCACCAGCTGGCGTGTATTAGACGTGTGAGGTCGTTTGTTTACTCTTGAACATTGGCAAAAATTTAACATTTCTGCTACTTTGAGCTCAGTTTCAAGCCATTTCCAGTGCTAAAACCAATCAAAATCATCTCTATTTCTGTAATATGTCATCCATTCTATCAAATGAGACCAAGAAATCGCAAATACAACTATAAAAAACGTACGAAAAAAGCTGCAAAGTAGCTGTTTTAATTGAGAATCACTGTCTCGGTTTTTTTCCTCTCATTATACACTGTGTGCTGCAGGATTTGTTTTATGTGGTGCACACATACCACATAGATGTATTCTCTCATATCTAGGCCCAAATTTACCACTCACAGCTTGTCAGAGTGAGCTGAGCTCATGGCGTAGTTCTACTGTTTGGACCCTGAACGTAAAGCCGTAGATCTACGGCACGGACCCTGAAAGGGTTAAGATGGTGAAAAGTTAACTAGGCATCCAGAAGATTTAAGTTGAGTATCTAGTCAGTAGCATAGCTGGTACTAATGGCTTTATTTTTATTGTTTTCTTTTCAGAAAAGCTCAAACATTTTTACTCAGTGGCTGTGGTGCACAAAGGTAACCTAACATCAGTAACAGGTTTGAAGGATTTGGCTGGTACTGTTGCCTGCTTTCCATCTGTGGCATCCATGGGTGGTTGGGTCATACCTATCTCTGAGGTTAGTGACACTACTTTGAGTCCCATGCACCTCAACCAACCCCATACATTTTGTGATTGACAGGTATAGTACAGTAACCCTTAGAATTTGCTGGAATTATGTTTCTAGAAGACACTGAAAATTACAAAATAAAATTTGCCTGAGAAAATGCAAATTTGCCTTCGTCTATATAATCACACTCCTGTGCATGATGGGATAAGCCAAACTCCGACATTGCATTAGGCTGAGTTGTTTCTAGGATGGTTTTTATGGTTTTATTGGCTGTTTCTTGATATTGTTGGATAGATTGGAAGACATACTACTGAAATAGAGATGATTTTCATTGGTCCCAGGAAGTAGCTTTAAATCGGCTGCAAAGTAGCAGGAATATTCAATTTTTGCCAATTTTTTTTCCCCGAGGACTAGTAAGGCCCCCCAATATATCCTCAGTCTGTTTTATGGGTTTTTTACTAGGTCTGATTCAATTGTTGGGATGATGTAAACGATGGTCAATCATTAGTTATTATCTGAGAAATAGGATAACTTAATTTTTGTGTGTGTGTGATGAATTCAAAATGGAAGGTAAGTGTAATACAGAAGAGGCCTTGGGACATGATTAACCCTTAAACTGTCCAAATGTAGATCTACGTTTGTACCGCTAGCTCTCCAAACATAGATCTATGTTTTATTTTTCCTGCCTCCAAATTTGGCATGATTGGCCTGAAATGCCTGGTCAGTATAGAATGGGTCTTAACACTGTGTGTGCAGTATTAAAAAAAATCTGGAACCACTTAGTACCTTGTGAGAGCACCAGTTCAATTGAGCACCAGCTAGAGCAAATCACGTGGCAAACACAAGGGATTCACTGATGTCATATCGTATTAACACTTCCCTTTTAAGAGGAAAGTGATGGATGTGGCCACAAGTGGTTGAGGAAATATCAAAAACCTCGATAATAACCCATGTGTAATAATTGTGCAACATCCTTTCATATTTAATACCATTGGCCCTGTCCTTTTTTTTTTTTTTTTTTTTTTTTTTTACACAGGGTTTGACAAGGTTAGGTTAAGGATCCCTAGCTTTATTGACAAGCTATTTACTTACAGGTTAAGGATTCTTAACTTTATTGGCAAGCTACGAGCTGTTACCTACATCAGCTCATTTGAAAGCATTTTTATTGTTATGAGACATTGTCTCTGTCTCTCTCTGTCTTTCTCTGTCTCTCTGTCTCTGTCTCTCTCTCTCTCTGTCTCTCTCTGTCTCTGTCTCTGTCTCTCTCTCTCTCTGTCTCTCTCTGTCTGTCTCTCTCTCTCTCACATGTACACACAAGTATGTACAGTTATTATACATAGTGTAAATTACCATGGATAACCCATAAATTCCAGACAAAGTGCTATATAGTGCTTGTAGATGTAAGACATAATAAGCATGACTGTCAACTCAGTGACAAGTAATACGTATTTTGCACCTCATCAGGAATCAGATGTGACTACTGCATTGTGTGTAATACCTGTTGAGACTGAGAGACAAGCAGATGGAAAGACACACACACAGGCAGACAGAAAGACACATACAGGCAGACAGAAAGACAGACACAAACAGGCAGACAGAAAGACACACACAGGCAGAGAGAAAAACAGACACACACACAGGCAGACAAAGACAGACACACAAGCAGACAGAAAGACAGAGACACACAGGCAGACAGAAAGATAGATAAGCAGAGCTAGACAGATAGACAGACTGACATGCATGTTTGTGTGTAACAGTCATCATCAAGTGTCACTCCACTGCTTACCCTGTCAGCAGTTTAGTGACACTTGTCATGAACACCATGCTTCAAGAAGTTTCATATACACTTCAGCATGTCTATAACATTGCTGAGATCTATAAATACTTTGTATATATTTCTAGACAATACTGTAGTAAATGACCAAGGCAGGTGAAAATGTACACCTGTCGGTGTGATTGTGACTATTTGAGTACTATTTCAGTACTTAATATTAGTGTCAGAACAAAGATTGGCTATGAAATGACAAGAACTATTATAAATTGTAATTATCAGTACATAAAAATTATATAAATTATAATAAAAATGAGAAGAAAAGGTATATCGTCAACACTTCTGCAAGCGGCAGGACTCGATGTTGCCATCAGGTGAGCATCCAGCACCAACTTTGTGGTCTTATATCTCAGTAAGTACTGGTCCTAGAATTTTTTTTTTTTGGTCTGATAACAAAAAATTGCCCTCTTTAATGAATTTTTTTTTTTTTTTTTCAAATATTTGGAGCGCTGCACAGGCAAACGTAGATCTACGTTTGGACAGTTTAAGGGTTAATGAACAGAAGAAATATTGCTTTAGTGCCTGGAATGTCTACAGTTTTTATTTTGGACTGGTTATCAAGTGGATTTTTTTTTTAATTTTGCTTTAAATTGGCAAAAATACTTGCCTATGTGCACTTTATAGTTTTGATAGTTGAATGAGCAATTTATTGTACTCAGTTGATAGAAATAGCTACGAATTAGCTTAAATTGAGCAATGGAACTGGCTTAAAATAGGGCTCAAACTTGGCAAAATAACTGATGTGCTTAGACTGCTAACTTTGCACTTGCACAATTCCATACAGTTTCCATCAGATTTCATATTTTTGGTGTCTATCATTTCAGATTTTTTTTTTTTTTTTTTTTTTTTTTGAAAAAATGCAGACACTGGACAATGAAATGGTTAATAGAGAAGTAAGAAAAGGCAGATTACTATTTTTAGATATTTCTGTTCATTGACCTAATAAAATATACATTCATTTAAATTAACTGTGCTCAAGGTGTAATTATTATGAATGCACCTTCAGACTGCAAGCACTGTACTTCCCAACCCTGCATAATATTCACACTTCACATTTATAAGTTTGACATCACTGGTTTCCCCAGCCTCCTTGCTTCAACATTCAGAGACCATGTCTTATACCCATACTTGATTTTTGGCATCACTACTCAGATACTTTTATTTTTTTCAAGACTCTTCATCATTTTACATACCTACACACCTTGTCATTCATGAATCCATCTACTGACACATCCACTCCTAAATATCTAAATACAATGCTTTCATTTCGTTAATGTGTACTTTTTTCCCTTTAGTCTGATGTCAGGTCTTTCAGTGCCTGTGCTTTTTACTCTCATTACTTTATTCATTTTTATGTTCTTTCATTTTTGTACACTAGCAAAGTTCTAATCCAACCTCATCGTCTTTTCTTTCTGAATCTTCCAACACCATCGTGTCATCAGCAAAGAGCAACTGTGATAATTTCCAGTTCATCTTGATATCGGATTCATTGTCTTTTAAGAATGAATCTTTCTGTAATACTCCAGCATTCACTTCTTTTACAAATCCAATATATAAACACATTAAAAACTATGCTGGCATCCCATATCTTTGACTAAGGCTCATTGTTACAGAAAATACTTTCCTACTCTCCTACATACTCTAACCTGACCTTAATTTTCTTGATAAAAGCCTTAGCAACTTTATAATTATTCTACATATTAGCAACACCCCCCCCCCCCTCACCCCCCCTCCCCCCTCCTCTCCTCTCTTCTCTCTCTTTCTCTCTTCTTCTCTTTCTCTTTCTTTCTTTCTCTCTCTCTTTCTCTCTTTCTCTCTCTTTCTTTCTCTTCTTTTCTCTCTCTCTTTCTCTCTCTCTCATTTTCTCCTCTCTCTTTCCCTCTCTCTTTCTCTCATCTCTTTCTCTCTCTCTCTCTCTCTCTTTCTCTCTCTCTTTCTCTTCTCTCTCTCTCTCTCTCTCTCTCTTTTCTCTCTCTTTCTCTCTCTCTTTCCTCTCTTTCTTCTCTCTCTCTCTCTTTCTCTCTCTCTTTCTTCCTCTTCTCTCCTCTCTCTCCTTTCTCCTCTTTCTTCTCTTTCTCTCTCTTTTCTCTCCTCTTTCTTTCTCCTCTTTCCGTTCTCTCTCTCTTTCTCTCTTTCTCTCTTTCTTTCTCTCTTTCTCTCTTTCTCATCCTTCTCTCTATCTCTCTCTCTTTCTCTCTTTCTTTCTCTCTCTCTCTCTTTCTCTCTTTCTCTTCTTCTCTCTTCTCCTCTTTCTCTCTTTCTCTTCTCTCTCTCGTCCTCCTTCTTTCTCTCTTTCTCTTCTTTCTCTCTTTCTCTCCTCTTTCTCTCTTTCTTCTCTCTCTTTTCTCTCTTCTCCTTCTCTCTCTTCTCTCTTCTCTCTCTCCTCTTCTTCTCTCTCTTCTTTCTCTCTTTTCTCTCTCTCTCTCTCTCTCTCTCTCTCTCTCTCTCTCTCTCTCTCTCATACTCTACTACATACATACATACATACATACATACATACATACATACATTCAGTCATTCATTCATTCATTCACATTCACACTCTTTGGACCCCCGGTTTACGATATTATTTCATTCCAGAAGTATGTTCAGGTGCCAGTACCGACCGAATTTGTTCCCATAAGGAATATTGTGAATTAGTTTAGTCCATTTCAGACCCCCAAACATACACATACAAACGCACTTACATAATTGGTCGCATTGAGTCATATCCCACTGAGGCAAGGTGGCCCAAAATAAAAAAAAGAAAAGTTTCTCTCTTTAACTTTAGTAAACTTTATAGAGAATATACTAAACTTAGTAATGTATACAGGAGAAGGGGTTACTAGCTCCTTGCTCCTGGCATTTTAATCGCCTCTCACGACATGCATGGCTTACGGAGGAAGAATTCTATTCCACTTCCCCATGGAGATTCTTTCAACACACCGGCCGTATCCCACCGAGGCGGGGTGGCTCAAAAGGAAAAACGAAAGTTTCTCCTTTTACATTTAGTAATATATACAGGAAAAGGGGTTACTAGCCTCTTGCTCCTGGCATTTTAGTCGCCTCTTTCAACATGCATTGCTTACAGAGGAAGAATTCTGTTCCACTTCCCCATGGAGACATGAGGAAATAAACAAGAACAAGAACGAAAATAGAATAAAATCCAGAGGGGTGTGTTTGTATATGCTTGTACATGCATGCGTAGTGTGACCTATGTGTAAGTAGAAGTAGCAAGACGTACCTGAAATCTTGCATGTTTTTGAGACAGATAAAAGACACCAGCAATCCTACCATAATGTAAAACAATTAGGTACAGGCTTTCATTTTACACTTGGCAGGATGTTAGTACCTCCCTGGGTGGTTACTGTCTACCAACCTACTACCATAACATATACATAAATGTATAATGTGTATTTATAAAGTGGTACCCCAAGTTTCGGCCACCTCCCAACTCGAACAATTGTGTAAGTGTATTATTGCAAGTGCTTTTGTAAGTGTACTTTTGGGGGTTTCAAATGGACTAATCTAATTTACATTATTCCTTATGGGAACAAATTCGTTTGGTAACAGCACTCGAACAGCCTTCTGGAACGAATTATGGCCAAAACTCAAGGTTCCACTGTATATATACATGTATATATATATATATACAGTGGACCCCCGCATACCGTTGGCATCACATACCGTTTATTCCGCATACTGCTCACTTTAATCGCAAAAATTTTGCCTCGCATACCGCTCAAAAACCCGCTCACCGCTGTTTGTCCGAGACGCGTCCAATGTGCGCCCTAGCCAGCCTCACATGTTCCGCCGGTGGCATTGTTTACCAGCCAGCCTCCACGGTAGCATCCAAGCATACAATCGTAACATTTCGTATTATTACAGTGTTTTTGGTGATTTTATCTGGAAAATAAGTGACCATGGGCCCCAAGAAAGCTTCTAGTGCCAACCCTACAGCAATAAGGGTGAGAATTACTATAGAGATGAAGAAAAAGATCATTGATAAGTATGAAAGTGGAGTGCGTGTCTCCGAGCTGGCCAGGTTGTATAATGAACCCCAATCAACCATCGCTACTATTGGTGGTACAGCTGCTGCTGCTGCTGCACTGTCAGCTGCTGCTGCTGCTGTAGCCTCGTCTGCTGCTGCTGCTGTAGCCTCGTCTGCTGCTGCTGCTGTAGCATCGTCTGCTGCTGCTGTAGCATCGTCTGCTGCTGCTGTAGCACTGTTGTTGGTGTGGCTTATTGAGAATATACCAAGAAACAATTAACCCCAGAGGATTTGCCACCCAGGATAACCCAAAAAAGTCAGTGTCATCGAAGACTGTCTAACTTATTTCCATTGGGGTCCTTAATCTTGTCTCCCAGGATGCAACCCACACCAGTCGACTAACACCCAGGTGAACAGGGAAAAATACCTGGAACTAGTGCTCATATTGGTGAATTTAAAGCCAGCAAAGGTTGGTTTGAGAGATTTAAGAATCGTAGTGACATACACAGTGTGATAAGGCCTGTTCTGGAAGAAAATGCCAAACAGGACCTAGAGTACTCAGGAGGAAAACGCACTCCCAGGACACAGTGTCTCATCAGTCATTGCTGCATCTTCAATAAAGGTAAGTGTCATTTATTCTTCATTTAGTAGGCTAGTACATGCACAATATATACTGTGCATGTACTACTCTACTATTGTGCATGTATCCTTCTCTTTGTGTGTAGGAAAATGTATATTTCATGTGGTAAAATTTTTTTTTTTCATACTTTTGGGTGTCTTGCACGGATTAATTTGATTTCCATTATTTCTTATGGGGAAAATTCATTTGCATACCGATTATTTCGCATACCAATGATCCCTCTTGCACGGATTAAAATCGGTATGCGGGGGTCCACTGTATATCCTAGGTAGTAGGTTGGTAGACAGCAACCGCCCAGGGAGGTACTACCGTCCTGCCAAGTGAGTGTAAAACGAAAGCCTGTAATTGTTTTACATGATGGTAGGATTGCTGGTGTCCTTTTTTCTGTCTCATGAACAATGCAAGATTTCAGGTATGTCTTGCTACTTCTACTTACACTTAGGTCACACTACACATACATGTATAAGCGTATATATACATACCCCTCTGTGTTTTCTTCTATTTTCTTTCTAGTTCTTGTTCTTGTTTATTTCCTCTTATCTCCATGGGGAAGTGGAACAGAATTCTTCCTCCGTACGCCATGCGTGTTGTAAGAGGCAACTAAAATGCCGGGAGCAAGGGGCTAGTAACCCCTTCTCCTGTATATGTTACTAAATGTAAAAGGAGAAACTTCAGTTTTTCTTTTTGGGCCACCCCGCCTCGGTGGGATACGGCCGATGTGTTGAAAGAAGAATATATATACATATTTGTTATTCAAGGATCTTCACCTCATTCTTTTAATCTTCATTCTGACATTTGCTTTTCATATTTCAGTGTTTGTATGTATAATAACTTGTGTATATTCAGGAATCTTACCCTTTTTCATATTTATGCAAATGTTTAAACCAGCACTTATTCATTCATATTTCATACATACATTATTTTACTATTTATTAAGCCCTACATTTTTGAATGCCTACTATAAAAGTCTTCTTTTTATTTATTTATTGCATTTAGTTCACCTAATCACTGTTTGTGCTTCAGCTCATCAGTACAGGAGCCATGGAGATTATTGATTGCAACAATCACATCAAGTCAGCATCTAATTTTTTTAGTGGTGGGTGTGCTGTCAACATTCTCACTGACAAGTACAACCCATTGGGTAAGTATGTTTTTAACTGAATAGGCTGTGATTTTAGTAAATAAATTTTAGTTTCTGGTGCCAATTTTTTTTTTTATCATTTTTGTATGTGTGTAAAGCATACCCTTCGAAATTTGCAGCATGGAAAGAGTTGGAAGTTGGAAATAGTATCAGAGTTTGCTGTGAGATGTGAATATTGTGTAGAAAGATATTAGAATACAGTATAGCAGCATGAATTCAAAGAGCAAAAGATGTGTTGAGGTAGTCTGGTCGTGGAGAAAGAATGGAGCAAGATAATGGTTAGCAAAGAGGGTACCATACAGTAAGCACTCGATTAACACAAAAACAGATTAAGCAAATTTGTATTAACACTATTGATAAAGTGAAACTAATTCACATTTTAGTTTGAGGCATGTGGGCATTACACAGAATTTCCTACTAACATTTAGGTAGTGTTGCCCTCTCCTGGGATCATTATGGGAGTAACTTTTATCTTAAGGTGTTAAGGCTGGTTTGCCTAGGATGACCTTGGAAGAACTAAGGGAAGTAAAAAGAGATACCTCTTTTTCCAATAATTTTTTCTTGCTGCATTTCTATGCAGTGCCTTCTTACATTACCTCTTCAATAAATACTGTTTTCCCATTTCATATTTCTAACTTTTTACTTTGAAACTTGAATATGCTTGTTATGGCTGTACAATACTTATTGTATCCTCATGTACAGTGGAACCTCTACTTGTGAGTTTAATCCGTTCCATGACCTTGCTCGCAACTGGATTTGCTCGTTTGCAGAGTCAATTTTCCTCATTTAAATTAATTGAAATGCAATTAATCCGTTCCAGTGGAATTCTGTACTTCAATAATTTCGCTAATATCAACTCTACGGCTTATTTATCTATCTCACTTTATCTAATATGACATAATAAACAATATAAATAACATAGAAACCTGATATATACTCTAAAATGAATAAAATATGTCATTCATGTAGTGGTATGGGCGGTGTTGGCGGTGGAGGAGAGTTTGTCTGGAGACCGGGCAAAATACGTACTTCATGAATAATTTCGCTAATATCATCTATACGGCTTATTTATATATCACAGTTCATCTAATATGACATAACAGACAATATAAATAACATAGAAACATGATATATACTCTAGAATGAATAAAATATGTCATTATGTAACAGGTGGAGGCAGCCACAACTGCTCCCTCTTTGTTGTGGTAAACACTGCCATCTAGTGACGGCCTTTTGAAGTCATCTATTATTATAATTTTTATATGTAGTACATTATTATTATATATGTATTATTATTATATATATTATTATTATACATATTATTATTATTGTATTATACTATTATTATTATTATTATTATTATTATTATTATTATTATTATTATTATTATTATTATTATTATTATACGTATTGTTATTATTCATATTATATTATTATTATTATTATTATCATTATTATTATTATATAAACTATTTGTAATTTTTATTCACACAAAAAATATAAGATTTACTCTTATTCCTTATTGCAATAATTGTATAAATATGTCAACCCATTCACAACTGCATATTGAAACAGCCAAGCAATGGACCATTTCTCCTAGGTTGAGCTCAATTTCAAGGCACTTTTCGTCATGAAAGCAATCAAAATCATATCTATTTCTGTAATATATCTTCCATTCTATCAAATGAGATAAAAAAAACGAGGATACAACTATAAAAACCATTTGAAATTACCGCTAAGGGGTGGCTAATTACTGAGAAGTGAACTCCATTATTTATGCTTAGATTTCTTTCATTATTATTATTATTATTATTATTATTATTATTATTATTATTATTATTATTATATTATTATTATCGTTATTATTATATAAATAATTTGTAATTTTTATTCACACAAAAAATATAAGATTTACTGTGATGTCATTTATTTACACAAACAGCCAAGCAATGGACCATTTCTCCTAGGTTGAGCTCTATTTCAGGGTACTTTTCGTCGTGAAAGCAATCAAAATCATATCTATTTCTGTAATATATCTTCCATTCTATCAAATGAGACCAAAAAAAACAAGAATACAACTATAAAATCCATTCGAAATTACCACTAAGAGGTGGCTAATTGCTGAGAAGTGAACTCCATTATTTATGCTTAGATTTCTTTCATTTTTGGTGTACCTTAAGAAGCATCTTTCCATCATACATTGCCCAAGTTTCAATAAGATAGTCCAACAAACAAATGAGATACAATTACCGAGATCAAGAGCAAGAGCCCCTCACCAGTGTCAAGGAACCTGCCTTGAGGTCTGCTCGCTTGTGGAAATTTTGCTCGCGTATGGAAGCAAAAAATCAACCCATTGACTGCTCGTATTTGGAAAAACTCGCACGTGGATACGCTCGCAAGTAGAGGTTCTACTGTATTTCTATCATGTATCAAGTGGCAACTACTGTATTTTTATGATGTCCCGAGAATTTTTTGGAATTATTTGACATATTGTGAATGCTTATTCAGAAGTTTTATTGCTTCAGGATACCAAAAGTTAATACAGTAGCATTGTTTTGGGTACTCTCATGAAACTTTTTAAATAAGAGGCAGTTACTAAATTCACAATACAGTGGACCCCCGCATAACGATTTTAATCCGTGCAAGAGGGGTAATTGTTATGCGAAATAATCGGTATGTGAATGAATTTTCCCCATAAGAAATAATGGAAATAAAATTAATCCGTGCAAGACACCCAAAAGTATGAAAAAAAAATTTTTTTACCACATGAAATATACATTTTCCCACACACAAAGAGAAGGATACATGCACAATAGTATAGTAGTACATGCACAGTATATATTGTGCATGTACTAGTCTACTAAATGAAGAATAAATGACACTTACCTTTATTGAAGATGCAGCAATGACTGATGAGACACTGTGTCCTGGGAGTGCCTTTTCCTCCTGAGTACTGTAGGTCCTGTTTGGCATTTTCTTCCAGAACAGGCCTTATCACACTGTGTATGCCACTACGATTCTTAAATCTCTCAAACCAACCTTTGCTGGCTTTAAATTCACACAATATGAGCACTAGTTCCAGGCATTTTTTCCCTGTTCACCTGGTGTTAGTCGACTTGTGTGGGTTGCATCCTGGGAGACAAGATTAAGGACCCCAATGGAAATAAGTTAGACAGTCTTCGATGACACTGACTTTTTTTGGGTTATCCTGGGTGGCAAATCCTCTGGGGTTAATTGTTTCTTGGTATTCTCAATAAGCCACACCAACAACGGTGCTACAGCAGCAGCAGCAGCTGACGGTGGTACAGCAGCAACAGACGATGCTACAGCAGCAGCAGACGATGCTACAGCAGCAGCAGCAGCTGACGGTGGTACAGCAGCAACAGACGATGCTACAGCAGCAACAGACGATGTTACAGCAGCAGCAGACGATGCTACAGCAGCAGCAGAGCTGACGTGGTACAGCAGCACAGACGATGCTACAGCAGCAACAGACGATGTTACAGCAGCAGCAGACGATGCTACAGCAGCAGCAGACGATGCTACAGCAGCAGCAGCAAGCTGACGGTGGTTACAGCAGCAACAGACGATGCTACAGCAGCAAACAGACGATGTTACAGCAGCAGCAGACGATGCTACAGCAGCAGCAGCAGCTGACGGGGTACAGCAGCAACAGACGATGCTACAGCAGCAAAACACAGCAGCACAGACGATGTTACAGCAGCAGCAGACGATGCTACAGCAGCAGCAGCAGCAGCTGACGGTGGTACAGCAGCAACAGACGATGCTACAGCAGCAAACAGACGATGTTACAGCAGCAGCAGACGATGCTACAGCAGCAGCAGACGATGCTACAGCAGCAGCAGCAGCTGACGGTGGTACAGCAGCAACAGACGATGCTACAGCAGCAACAGACGATGTTACAGCAGCAGCAGACGATGCTACAGCAGCAGCAGACGATGCTACAGCAGCAGCAGCAGCTGACGGGTGCTACAGCAGCAGCAGACGATGCTACAGCAGCAACAGACGATGTTACAGCAGCAGCAGACGATGCTACAGCAGCAGCAGCAGCTGACGGTGGTACAGCAGCAACAGACGATGCTACAGCAGCAACAGACGATGTTACAGCAGCAGCAGACGATGCTACAGCAGCAGCAGCAGCTGACGGTGGTACAGCAGCAACAGACGATGCTACAGCAGCAACAGACGATGTTACAGCAGCAGCAGACGATGCTACAGCAGCAGCACAGCTGACGGTGGTACAGCAGCAACAGACGACGCTACAGCAGCAACAGACGATGTTACAGCAGCAGCAGACGATGCTACAGCAGCAACAGCAGCTGACAGTGCAGCAGCAGCAGCAGCAGCTGACAGTGCAGCAGCAGCAGCAGCAGCAGCAGCAGCAGCAGCAGCAGCTGTACCACCAATAGTAGCGATGGTTGATTGGGGTTTATTATACAACCTGGCCAGCTCGGAGACACGCACTCCACTTTCATACTTATCAATGATCTTTTTCTTCATCTCTATTGTAATTCTCACCCTTATTGCTGTAGGGTTGGCACTAGAAGCTTTCTTGGGGCCCATGGTCACTTATTTTCCAGAAAAAGCACCGAAAACACTGTAATAATACGAAATATTCCGATTGTATGCTTGGATGTTACCGCGGAGGCTGGCTGGTAAACAATGCCACCGGCGGAACATGTGAGCGTGGCTCAGGCCGCACATTGGACGCGTCTCGGACGAAAATCGGTGAGCAGGTTTTTAAGCGGTATGTGAGGCAAAATTTTGGCGATTAAAGCAAGCGGTATGCGGATTAATCGCTATGTGATGCCATCGGTATGCGGGGGTCCACTGTACAGTAGTATTTTGTTTTAATTTGATTAAATTCAATATGCAGTAGTATTTTGTTTAATTTATCAAATTTTGTTGTAAGAGGGTGAAATCTGTAATGCTACATAAATAAAATTCCACACCTTGGGAATTTTTTTTAATCCTTATTTTAAATTGTGAGGTTCATGTATCTCTGGCTAGACAGTTCTTGATTGATAGGTGGTGAATATTTCCTTTCTTTCATCAATGGATTTTTTTTTTTTTTTACTTTGCATACTATTTCCATAGGTGACAACAGCCAAGTTCTTTGTAGTGCTTGTGGTAGTGACCATCCTGGGCAGCACTGCACCAGTCAGGACATCTATTCTGGCTATCAAGGTGCTTTCAATTGCTTGCTTGATAAAGGAGACATTGCTTTTGTTAAGCATACTACTATCAAGAGGGCATTGGCAACACGTGGTATAACAAAGACGTGAGTTTGGAAAAACCTTTTATTGTCTTTTCTGTTTATTTTATATTTTAAACCAGGTAACTTATAGCTTATCTTTTGATAACTTTTGGTTGTTCATATTATACATATTTCTTGGAAAACTTGTTCTTGGGCACTAACAGCTTGCTGCATCAATACACTTGTCAATTAGTTGCTCTAATATTGATCAGAAACTGTCAGTGATGGTAGATAATAACTAATTTTTCTATTATCATTAGTGGTTTTTAATATGTATCTAACTAACTTGTAGAGTAAATAACAAAAAGGCACAATACCGTGACAGGAACGATACACAAATAACCCGCACATAGAAGAGAGGAGCTTATGACGACGTTTCGGACTTTGTAAATGGTCCAAGTCGGACCAAAACGTTGTCGTAAGCTCCTCTCTTCTATGTGCGGGTTATTTGTGTAACTTGTAGAGTACAAGCTGGGATGTTTCTTTTTTTGGAGGGACAGCTGGTGTGATAAAAAAAAATCTGGCTATAAAGTAATGCACAGCTAGCATGTAGAAAGGGTAAAGAGGATGAAGATACAGTGAACCCTTACTTTAACTGGCTAATAGAGGAACATGTCTTTGTCCATTAAAGCCAGTTATTAGTTAAAGCTGAAAAATGAAATTGTTTTTTCAAGTTCATAATGTGGTAGATGTTGCAGGTGTATGGAATAGGAGGTAGGTTACTGAAAGCAGTGAAGAGTTTTTACGAGGATAGTGGGGCTCAGGTTAGAGTTTGTAGGAAAGAGGGAGATTATTTCCCAGTAAAAGTGAGCCTTAGGGAAGGATGTGTGATGTCACCATGGTTGTTCAATATATTTATAAATGGGGTTGTAAGAAAAGTGAATGCGAGGGTCTTGGCAAGAGGTGTGGAGTTAAAAGATAAGGAATCAAACACAGTGGGAGTTATCACAGTTGCTTTTTTGCTGATGACACTGTGCTCTTGAGAGATTCTGAAGAGAAGTTGCAGAGGTTGGTAGATGAATTTGGTAGGATATGTAAAAGAAGAGTATAGGTTTACCAACGCTCTTATATGGGTGTGAAGCATGGGTGATGAATGTTGCAGTGAGGAAGAAGGCAGGAGGCAGTGGTGATGTCATGTCTGAGGGCAATGTGTGGTGTGAATATAATGCAGAGAATTCGCAGTTTGGAAGTTAGGAGGAGGTGCGGGATTACCAAAACTGTTGTCCAGAGGGCTGAGGAAGGGTTGCTGAGGTGGTTCAGACATGTAAAGAGAATGGAACGAAGCAGAATGACTTTGAGAGTGTACGTATAAATCTGTAGTGGAGGGAAGGCGGGGTAGGGGTCGGCCTACGAAAGGTTGGAGGGAGGGGGTAAAGGAGGTTTTGTGTGCAAGGGGCTTGGATTTCCAGCAAGCATGCGTGAGCATATTTGATAGGAGTGAATGGAGACGAATGGTTTTTAATACTTGATGTACTGTTGGAGTGTGAGCAAAGTAACATTTATGAAGGAATTCAGGGAAACTGGCAGACTGGACTTGAATCCTGGAGATGGGAAGTACAGTGTCTGCACTCTGAAGGAGGGGTATAAATGTTGCAGTTTTATAAGCTGTAGTGTAAAGCACCCCTCTGGCAAGACAGTGATGGAGTGAATGATGATGAAAGTTTTTCTTTTTTGGGCCACCCTGCCTTGGTGGGAGATGGCTGATGTGTTAATAAAAAAAAAAAAAAAACAATGGACATTTCTGGATTTCATGGATCACAACAAAAATGGACAATTTTAGATTTAATTGACTTTGTCCATTATTTCCAGATGCTGCCCAGCCACAGATTTTGTCTGTTAAATCAGAATTCCATTTGACCAGGTCCACCAAATCAAGGTCTTACCATATAGAGATGAGTTTCTTGAAAGCATGTGAGAATAGAGCAGATTGAAAAGGCATTTTTATTTAACATTATCTAGAGGCTTTATTTTCATGGCTGTTTCATAAGTACGAATTCTTTAATCTCCTGTTGTGAGTAGAGTAATTCCTTGATATTTCTTACAGCAGTATAATACAGTATTTTTTTTTTTTTAAACATTGGCTGTATCCCACCGAGGCATGGTGACCTCAGAAAAGAAGAAACAAAAATTTATCTTCTCTTTACATTTAGTAATTTATAAAGGAGAAGGGGTAAGTAGCCCATTACTCCCGGCATTGCAGTCATCTCTTATGACGTGCATGGCTTACGAAGGAAGGAGTTTTCTCCACTTCACCATGAAGATAGTACATCTTATTTATTATTAACACATTGGCCATTTTCCACCAAGGCAGGGTGGCCCGAAAAAGAAAAGTTTTCATCGTCATTCACTCCATCACTGTCTTGCCAGAGGCATGCTTACACTACAGTTATGAAACTGTAACATTAACGCCACTTCTTCAAAGTGCAGGCACTGTACTTCTCATCTCCAGGAATCAAGTCTGGAATGCCGGTTTCCCTGAATCCCTTCATAAATGTTACCTTGCTCACACTCCAACAGCATGTCAAGTCCTAAAAACCATTCGTCTCCATTTGCTCCTATCTAACATGCTCACGCATGCTTGCTGGAAGTCCAAGCCTCTCACACAAAAAACCTCCTTTATCCCCCTCTCTCCAACCTGTCCTAGGTTGACCCCTACCCTGCCTTCCCTCCACTACAGATTTATAGGCTCTTCACATCATTCTATTTTGCTTCACCCTCTCTACATGTCCGAACCACCTCAACAACCTCTCCTCAGCCCTCTTGATGATACTTTTGGTAACCCCACACCTCCTCCCAATTTCCAAACTATGGATTCTCTGCATTATATTCACACCACACATTTCCATCAGACATAACATCTCCGCTGCCTCCAGCCTTCTTTTTGTTGCAACATTCACGACCCATGCTTCACACTCACATGAGAGCATTGGTATAACTATACTATATAGTGCGTATACAGTGGACCCCCGCATAACGATTACCTCCGAATGCGACCAATTATGTAAGTGTATTTATGTAAGTGCGTTTGTACGTGTATGTTTGGGGGTCTGAAATGGACTAATCTACTTCACAATATTCCTTATGGGAATAAATTCGGTCAGTACTGGCACCTGAACATACTTATGGAGTGAAAAAATATCGTTAAGCGGGGGTCCACTGTACTTATTAATAAGTAGATGTTCTATAAGGTAGTACATCTTCTTTCAACAAACCGACCACATCCCACCGAGGCAGGGTGGCCCAAAAGAAAAAACAAAGGCTTCTCCTTTTAAATTTAGTAATATACTTATACCGGAGAAGGGGTTACTATCCCCTTGCCTCATATGACATGCATGACTTAGGGAGGAAGAATTCTATTCCACTTTCCCATGGAGAAAGGAAGTACATATTTTTTTTTTTTTTTCAACAAGTCGGCCGTCTCCCACCAAGGCAGGGTGACCCAAAAAAGAAAGAAAATCCCCAAAAAGAAAATACTTTCATCATCATTCAACACTTTCACCACACTCACACATTATCACTGCATTTGCAGAGGTACTCAGAATACAACAGTTTAGAAGCATATACGTATAAAGATACACAACATATCCCTCCAAACTGTCAATATCCCAAACCCCTCCTTTAAAGTGCAGGCATTGTACTTCCTATTTCCAGGACTCAAGTCCGACTATATGAAAATAACCGGTTTCCCTGAATCCCTTCACTAAATATTACCCTGCTCACACTCCAACAGATCGTCAGGTCCCAAGTATCATTCGTCTCCATTCACTCCTATCTAACACGCTCATGCACGCTTGCTGGAAGTCCAAGCCCCTCGCCCACAAAACCTCCTTTACCCCCTCTCTCCAACCCTTTCGAGGACGGCCCCTACCTCGCCTTCCTTCCCCTATAGATTTATATGCTTTCCATGTCATTCTACTTTGATCCATTCTCTCTAAATGACCAAACCACCTCAACAACCCCTCTTCTGCCCTCTGACTAATGCTTTTATTAACTCCACACCTTTTCCTAAGTTCCACACTCCGAATTTTCTGCATAATATTTACACCACACATTGCCCTTAGACAGGACATCTCCACTGCCTCCAACCATCTCCTCGCTGCTGCATTTACCACCCAAGCTTCACATCCATATAAGAGTGTTGGTACTACTATACTTTCATACATTCCCTTCTTTGCCTCCATAGATAACGTTTTTTGACTCCACATATACCTCAACGCACCACTCACCTTTTTTCCCTCATCAATTCTATGATTAACCTCATCCTTCATAAATTCATCCGCCGACACGTCAACTCCCAAGTATCTGAAAACATTCACTTCTTCCATACTCCTCCTCCCCAATTTGATATCCAATTTTTCTTTATCTAAATCATTTGATACCCTCATCACCTTACTCTTTTCTATGTTCACTTTCAACTTTCTACCTTTACACACATTCTCAAACTCATCCACTAACCTTTGCAATTTTTCTTTAGAATCTCCCATAAGCACAGTATCATCAGCAAAAAGTAATTGTGTCAATTCCCATTTTGAATTTGATTCCCCATAATTTAATCCCACCCCTCTCCCGAACACTCTAGCATTTACTTCTTTTACAACCCCATCTATAAATATATTAAACAACCATGGTGACATTACACATCCCTGTCTAAGACCTACTTTTACCGGGAAGTATTCTCCCTCTCTTCTACACACCCTAACCTGAGCCTCACTATCCTCATAAAAGCTCTTTACAGCATTTAGTAACTTACCACCTATTCCATATACTTGCAACATCTGCCACATTGCTCCTCTGTCCACTCTATCATATGCCTTTTCTAAATCCATAAACGCAATATAAACTTCCCTACCTTTATCTAAATACTGTTCGTATATATGCTTCAATGTAAACACTTGATCTACACATCCCCTACCCACTCTGAAGCCTCCCTGCTCATCCGCAATCCTACATTCTGTCTTTACCTCTAATTCTTTCAATTATAACCCTACCGTATACTTTTCCTGGTATACTCAGTAAACTTATTCCTCTATAATTTTTACAATCTCTTTTGTCCCCTTTCCCTTTATATAAAGGGATTATACATGCTCTCTGCCAATCCCTAGGTACCTTCCCCTCTTTCATACATTTATTAAACAAAAGTACCAACCACTCCAACACTATATCATCCCCTGCTTTTAACATTTCTGTCATGATCCCATCAGTTCCAGCTGCTTTACCCCCTTTCATTCTACGTAATGCCTCGCGTACCTCCACCACACTTACATTCTGCTCTTCTTCACTCCTAAAAGATGGTATACCTCCCTGGCCAGTGCATGAAATTACCGCCTCCCTTTCTTCCTCAACATTTAAAAGTTCCTCAAAATATTCTTGCCATCTCCCTAATACCTCTCTCTCCCCATCTACTAACTCCCCTACTCTGTTTTTAACTGACAAATCCATACTTTCCCTAGGCTTTCTTAACTTGTTTAACTCGCTCCAAAATTTTTTCTTATTTTCATTAAAATTTCTTGACAGTGCCTCTCCCACTCTTTCATCTGCTCTCCTTTTGCACTCTCTCACCACTCTCTTACCACTCTCTTCACCTTTCTTTTACTCTCCATATACTCTGCTCTTCTTATAACACTTCTGCTTTTTAAGAAACCTCTCGTAAGCTACCTTTTTCTCTTTTATCACACCCTTTACTTTCATCATTCCACCAATCACTCCTCTTTCCTCCTGCCCCCACCCCACATGTACTTATTAATAACCTATACTTTACATGAAATGGAGACTGGTTTTGTCAATAATATTAATACATTCAATCGTTGCTACAGGGAATTGTTTTGTCAATAATATTAATAAATTCAATCGTTGCTACAGGGAAGATGATTTTGAACTTTTGTGCAAAGATGGCACGCGTCGTCCAGTATCTGATTATGAACAATGTCATTGGGGGTCAGTACCCTCCAGTGCTGTTGTCACAACTTCAGCCAAGAGTATAGAGCAGCGAGGCTTGCTTCAGGATTTTATTAAGGTATGTCCCACATTGTAAGAATTGTTATAGGTCCTGTGTCAGTGGCAGTGAGGGAACTCCAACTAAGCAGGTCAAGATCTGGTTTAGTTCCAGCTCAACTATTTGTTCCAGAACCAGTTCTTAGGTAATGGTGTGAACTTTGCAAGAAAACTGAAATAGGGTTTTATTTATTATTACTAATTTACTTAGTAACTCTATACATTTAGTTTGTATACTAGTATTTTTGTTTGATTATTTATTCATATTCATATTTAGGATGCAGTGTACAGTGCACTATGAAGGAGAGATAGGGATGTTGCACTCTAGACACCAATTTTGAATGAAATATACCTGCCTACAACCCAGCAGAGTGGGTGCGCTTACCTTCAAATGATTTATGTCAAGTCTGAGTGTGCAGATTTTTTTTGTTGGGGGGAATTTTGGGCATTGAGAAATAATGTGCTTTTGCTGCACCATTGTAAGCCTAGTCAGATCCAGGAACTTGTAGATATTTGAGTAGCTCTTATTCGGATTCATTTCCTTCAAAATTTGCTAGCAGTGGCAGTTTTGGGTCAAAGTTCAGTATATCACCAGTCACCAGTGAATGTTACTGCATACAGGTTTTGATAAAATACTACTGGAAATGCAGCCTATCTCTTATTACCTCCTAAACCACTAATTTCAGGATCTTAGTAACTCTTAACTTGGTCCTTTTTCCACATTCTGTTGTGGACTTGTTCTCCTGTGGATCAAACCTGATTGCCTCCTATTCTCCAGGTGCCTGTATGACCTCTATAAGCTTAGCACTTCCCTTAAAATTTAATTAACACACGACTGCATTGTCGTACAGGCACAAAAATTAATTCATTAGTTAACCCTTTCAGGGTCCAAGGCCCAAATCTGGAGTCACGCACCAGTGTCCAAGAATTTTAAAAAAAAAAATTTGTTATTTTTTCTTATGAAATCGTAGAGAATCTTTTTGTGAAGGTAATAAAACAAAAAGTACGAAATTTGGTGGAAAATTGACGAAATTATGCTCTCGCGAATTTTGATGTGTCAGCGATATTTACGAATCGGCGATTTTGCCGACTTTGACTCCCATTTTAGGCCAATTACATTATTCCAATCAACCAAATTCTTAGCTATTTCACTAGTATTACTTCTATTCTATCGATTGAGCACAAGAAATCGCCAAGTCAACTGTTTCAACTACAAAATAAAGTGATCGGAAATTGTTAATTTGGCCAATTTAACACAAAGTTCAAAATACGTATTCCAATTTCTAAATAGGGTCCAGAATAAACAATGTAGGCATTCCTGGCACTAAACTAACATTTCCTCTGTTCATTAGTTATGTTTTGAGGCTTTACAAATAAATTCCATTTTGATTTTTTATTCACATAATGAATTTTTATTCACACCAAAAAATAGAAGATTTACTGTTATGCAATACTGTAATAATTGTATAAATATCATCACCATATTTGTGAATGTATATTAGACCCACCAGCTGATGTGTATTAGATGTGTGAGGTCGTTTGTTTACTCTTGAATATCGGCAAAAATTTAACATTTCCGCTACTTTGAGCTCAGTTTCAAGCCATTTCCAGTGCTAAAACCAATCAAAATCATCTCTATTTCTGTAATATGTCTTCCATTCTATCAAATGAGACCAAGAAATCGCAAATACAACTATAAAAAACATACGAAAAAACACTGCAAAGTTGCTGTTTTAATCGAAAAATCATGATTTCAGTTTTTTCTCTCATTATACACAGTGTGCTGCAGGATCTGTTTTATGTGGTGCACACATACCACATAGATGTATTCTCTCATATCTAGGCCCAAATGTACCACTCACAGTTTACCAGAGTGAGCTGAGCTCATGGCGTAGATCTACGGTTTGGACACTCACCGTAAAGTCGTAGATCTACGGGACGGACCCTGAAAGGGTTTAATGTCCATATGCGTACATTTGTAATCTGTATTGTATAAGTAGTAGAGCACTTGATGTATTAGACCTGATATTGAAATATATAAGAAGTTATTAATTAATGTCTTGTACTAAAATATGTACATTAATCTATATGTATTGATTATTTTCAGTTACTAGTTACCCGTTATGGAAAAAAACCTGAAGATTCAAAGGAATTCTACCTCTTTGAATCCTCACCAAAATATGGAACTTCGTACGATTTGCTAATGTCGGTGGGTTCTTGGTAATTTTGTTTTAGGATCCTGTGAAAGAAATTAGATGTGTTGTTCTTGCAAAAAAAATATAGCAAGTTGTGATTTTAATTTTTCTTTTTTGTTCCCCATTTATCCTAAGTCTGATTTTTCATATTATCTTTAACTCTTTCAGCCTTTCACTTGTTTTCTTCCAATATCATCTGTTTGCATCCTCATTTATGATGCTAACTTTTACTCTCTTCTTTGTAACTTTTGCTATTTTCTTTTTATAATTTTATCCTTGTTTTCTTCTCCATCTTTTCTTTACCAGCTTCCATCTTATCTTTTCTTCCTCCTGTCTGTCCTCACCACTTCAAATTTATTAATTTCATAGACATCTTCAGTAACTTTCCTTGAATACAGCAATGCTTTGTATGTTACATGTGAAAAAAGTATTAAATTGTAGGTGAGCATGAAGACTGATCACTCGAATATCAAATTGCTGAATTGGAGTGTGAGCAAGATAATATTTATGAAAGGATTCAGGAAAAGCTGATTAGCTGGCTTGAGTCCTGAGGGTGGTAAGTACAGTGCCTGCACTGTGAAGGAGAGGTGAGGATTTTGCCGTTTAAAGAATCACATCTAAGGTTGAATACTAGAATGGCCAGTGTCAGAATATTTGAAGAAGTTGGATGTCCTGGCCCTAAGCGAAACAAAGCTGAAGGGGGTAGGGGAGTTTCAGTGGGGAGAAATAAATGGGATTAAATCTGGAGTATCTGAGAGAGTTAGAGCAAAGGAAGGGGTAGCAGTAATGTGAAGGATCAGTTATGGAAGGAGAAAAGAGAATACGAATGTGTAAATTCAAGGATTATGTGGATTAAGGTAAAGGTTGGATGCGAAAAGTGGGTCATAATAAGCGTGTATGCACCTGGAGAAGAGAGGAATGTAGAGGAGAGAGAGAGATTTTGGGAGATGTTAAGTGAATGTATAGGAGCCTTTGAACCAAGTGAGAGAGTAATTGTGGTAGAGGACCTGAATGCTAAAGTAGGAGAAACTTTTAGAGAGGGTGTGGTAGGTAAGTTTGGGGTGCCAGGTGTAAATGATAATGGGAGCCCTTTGATTGACTTGTATAGAAAGGGATTTTAGTTATAGGTATACATATTTTAAAAAAAAGAGGATAAATAAGTATACAAGATATGATGTAGGGCAAAATGACAGTAGTTTGTTGGATTATGTATTGGTAGATAAAAGAGTGTTGAGTAGACTTCAGGATGTACCTGTTTATAGAGGGGCCACAGATATATCAGATCGCTTTTTAGCTGTAGCTACACTGAGAGTAAAAGGTAGATGGGATACAAGGAGAATAGAAGCATCAGGTAAGAGAGAGGTGAAGGTTTATATACTAAAAGAGGAGGCAGTTAGGGTAAGATATAAACAACTATTGGAGGATAGATGGGCTAATGAGAGCATAGGCAATGGGGTCAAAGAGGTATGGGGTAGGTTTAAAAATGTAGTGTTAGTGTTCAGCAGAAGTTTGTGGTTACAGGAAAGTGGGTGCGGGTGGGAAGAGGAGCGATTGGTGGAATGATGATGTAAAGAGAGTAGTAAGGGAGAAAAAAATAGCATATGAGAAGTTTTTACAAAGTAGAAGTGATGCAAGGAGGGAAGAGTATATGGAGAAAAAAAGAGAGGTTAAGAGAGTGGTGAAGCAATGTAAAAAGAGAGCAAATGAGAGAGTGGGTGAAATGTTATCAACAAATTTTGTTGAAAATAAGAAAAAGTTTTGGAATGAGATTAACAAGTTAAGGAAGCCTAGAGAACAAATGGATTTGTCAGTTAAAAATAGGAGAGGAAAGTTATTAAATGGAGAGTTAGAGGTATTGGGAAGATGGAGGGAATATTTTGAGGAATTGTTGAATGTTGATGAAGATAGGGAAGCTGTGATTTTGTGTATAGGGCAAGGAGGAATAACATCTTGTAGGAGTGAGGAAGAGCAGTGGAGTGGGAGTTGTGAGTGTATGGGGGTAAGGGTTTTGTGAGGCAGGTATGGAGTAAATTAATTGAAAGGGGTAAGGTACTGGGATTGATGGAGATGATAGTTCTTTGTAAAAGAAAAGGTGGGGATATAAATTTTGGGGTAAGTTGTTGGTCCATTTTCATGAATGGACTATGGAAGTGGAAGAATTCTGTACCTAGGTGTTGGCATAAAGGGAGCAAGGCTAGTACCCTTTGTATAAATCTAAAGTAAAAAGAGAACTGTGGCAAACTTATATAGGGGGTAAGGTCTGTTGAGTATACCTGGTAAAGTGTATGGTAGAGTTATTATTGAAAGAATTAAGAGTAAGACTGAGAATAGGATAGCAGATGAACAAGGAGGCTTTAGGAAAGGTAGGGGGTGTGTGGACCAGGTGTTTACAGTGAAACATATAAGTGAACAGTATTTAGATAAGGCTAAAGAGGCTTTTGTGGCATTTATGGATTTGGAAAAGGCGTATGACAGGGTGGATAGGGGGGCAATGTGGCAGATGTTGCAGATGTATGGTATAGGAGGTAGTGAAGAGTTTTTACGAGGATAGTGAGGCTCAACTTAGAGTATGTAGGAAAGAGGGAGATTATTTCCCAGTAAAAGTAGGCCTTAGACAAGGATTTGTGATGTCACCGTGGTTGTTCAATATATTTATAGATGGGGTTGTAAGAGAAGCAAATGCGAGGGTCTTGGCAAGAGGTGTGGAGTTAAAAGATAAAGAATCACACATAAAGTGGGAGTTGTCACAGTTGTTCTTTGCTGATAACACTGTGCTCTTGGGAGATTCTGAAGAGAAGTTGCAGAGGTTGGTGGATGAATTTGGTAGGGTATGTAAAAGAAGAAAATTGAAAGTGAATACAGGAAAGAGTAAGGTTATGAGGATAAAAAGATTAGGTGATGAAAGATTGGATATCAGATTGGAGGGAGAGAGTATGGAGGAGGTGAATGTATTCAGATATTTGGGAGTGGATGTGTCAGCGGATGGGTCTATGAAAGATGAGGTGAATCATAAAATTGATGAGGGGAAAAGGGTGAGTGGTGCACTTAGGAGTCTGTGGAGACAAAGAACTTTGTCCTTGGAAGCAAAGAGGGGAATGTATGAGAGTATAGTTTTACCAACACTCCTGTATGGATGTGAAGCATGGGTGATGAATGTTGCAGCGAGGAGAAGGCTGGAGGCAATGGAGATGTTATGTATGAGGGCAATGTGTGGTGTGAATATAATGCAGAGAATTCATAGTTTGGACGTTAGGAGGAGGTGCGCGATTGCCAAAACTGTTGTCCAGAGGGCTGAGGAAGGGTTGTTGAGGTGGTTCGGACATGTAGAGAGAATGGAGCGAAACAGAATGACTTCAAGAGTGTATCATTCTGTAGTGGAAGGAAGGCGGGGTAGGGGTCGGCCTAGGAAAGGTTGGAGGGAGGGGGTAAAGGAGGTTTTGTGTGCGAGGGGCTTGGACTTCCAGCGGGCATGCGTGAGCGTGTTTGATCGGAGTGAATGGAGACAAATGGTTTTTAATACTTGACGTGCTGTTGGAGTGTGAGCAAAGTACCATTTATGAAGGGATTCAGGGAAACCGGCAGACCGGACTTGAGTCCTGGAGATGGGAAGTACAGTGCCTGCACTCTGAAGGAGGGGTGTTAATGTTGCAGTTTAATAACTGTAGTGTAAAGCACCCTTCTGGCAAGACAGTGATGGAGTGAATGATGGTGAAAGTTTTTCTTTTTCGGTCCACCCTGCCTTGGTGGGAATCCGCCAGTGTGTTAATAAAAAAAAAAAAGAGTACTAATGAACTGGAAATATCCAATTTCTTTAGTGATGTATGGGCCAATGTCATAAGCCTATAGGGTTTGCCTGACTAAACACATTCTAAACCAAAGTCAGTCATAAAACAAATCTGTGTTGAAGAAGAGCTAATGTGGACATTGTCTGAACTCCAGAAAGTATTAGCATTATCCCATGTTGCAGACAGGAGTTGTGTACTACAAGACACAGTTTGTGGAACCAGTGTGGCTGGAGCTAAAGCACACTGTATGATGTGAGATGAAAGAATTGGAAAAAGTAGGTGGCTGAGAAACAGGATCATGTCTAATGAAATGGATAAATGGCTTGCCAAATAATATCAAAGACTCATGTCCTATACAGAACAAAAATAATCTATTGACTCCCATGCTTATGCCTGTGTCCATTTCAGAAGGGATAAGAATTATACATTCTTGGAACCTGACCATACACACATGGAAGCAAACAACATACTGCAGTTGAAAAATAAATGAAATCGACTATCATTATTGAGGTCCCTAAGGATTGGATCACAACTGTCAGAGCTATTCACTGGAAAAACAGGCTTTAAGTGACAGAAAGGCATGCAGTTGAACTCAAAACATGCATAATAACTTCCCTGGTAAATTGTTACGAAGACTGCCAGAGAACTGGTAAATTTGATGAGAAATATGGTAATAATCTACATCCCACATCAAGCTGGACATATAACCTGCTGAATATCCTTCCATTAAGATGCCACTCTTCAGCTCTTTAACTTCAGGAGGACAATGAGAGGAATGACTCCTAACTGGATCCTAAGTGGAAGATGGATTACAAAAATTTCCACCAAGGATATAATTAATCTCCTTCCATTTATTTTAGAAGTAAGTAGGCATTTTTACAGGAGCCTTCAGGCAGAAGATGTTGGTGCTGATGATTATTTAGATGACGACCACATTGTGTGATTTCTTGTCCTGAGTGACTGTTATGTATATAACAGGCTGTATTGTAATGACAAGTTTGAATTTATTTTAACCAAGCTCTTGAATGTTAATGGAGAAAGGGTCAGTGTCATAGGTATGTTTTTCTTTAATTTTTCTCCCATTCAGAAAGGTATTATAATTTTTGAAAAATGCACCATTTGAGAAGTTGCATATTTATATTTAACTGAAAAATTCTGTATATCTTATGCATTACTGAATTTTAGTAAAGTGTACAGCTTTCAAAAGCATTTTTCTCAGCCTTAATTTTTGACATTAGCCTTTGTGGTGCTCAGATCTAGATATGAACTATGATGCACTTATGGCATAAGAGCTGTTGAATAAATATGGAGAACGTATTGCCTTGTGGAGTATCATCTAAAGACCAAATGAGTAAGTTGTAATTTCATGGACATAGAAATAGTTCAGTAATTGCTTCACATATCGGCCCAAGGTAATGTTGATGCAGTTTTGTATGGAAATATATGGAAAGAGAAAAGTGGTTTACTGCTGATTTTTTCACATAGTAAATATATTTCAGTATATATTTGTTTTAATTGTTTTGATTGTTTTTAATTGTTTTAATTATTTTGATTGTTTTGTTTTACAAAATTTGATGATAAAATGTTTGTTATAAACCTGTCTCACCTCATCCAGGATTAATGGATATACAGCATTACTGTACAGTATAATATATGTTTTTACTATATAAAAAAAAATTTAAAAAACATTTTCATAAATTTTAAGCAGTTTTGATTACAATCTGTTAAACAGTTGGGATGATGTGGGTTGCACTGCAATGAAAGGATAAGAGGTGGTAGAATGGTACAACAGATTTATGAAGTGTTAGACGGCAACTTGGCTGAGTGTTTTGATCAGTCATCATCACACAAGGGCTAAGCTTATTTGAATCGACTCCAGCCTTTGGAGAGAGCCTCTGATAACATTAATAATACATAAGTAATTGCTTCAGGAAGTAGTATGCACAAAAGAAAGCTTGTATGGCTATTGAAAAGAAAACAGCAATTATTGTATGGAATGATGTTTAAAATAGACCGGGTGAAAGTAGAATTACCATGTTCAACCTATTACCGGCAGTACTTAGATAGGTTTAGGAGCTCCTACTACCCTTTAACCCAACAAGAGCAAAAAACATTATATGATACCTCTGTTGGTATTTTGATAATTTTTCATAGTTTTTGTGCTATGCACTAATGAAATGGGGAGGGGGGTTATAACACCACCATGCCTGAGCTATTCTCTTTCTCACAGTGCTTAATATTAAAGAGACATGACTTCAGCAGCTTGATTTGCTTCATTTGTTTTTTGCAGGATGATACTGAGATGCTGGTAGAGCTGGCTATCAGCCAGCAAAACTTCCAAAAGTATCTTATTGGGAATATCATGAGTCACATTCAAACTGTGCATTCATGTCCTGTGGCCACTATGACGCTCTGTGTCACTTCTGTGGTTGAGTTCTCCAAGTGTCTCAAGATGCGGGTGGGTCACTTAAACATTTATTTCCCCAAATTTCATCACTTGATAGTGAAATTAGCTTGTAAAATCCTCACAGCATCTTCATGTTATTTGAACATCCAATGAAATTTTAGATGGAATGTATTAATGCATGAAAATGTGCATTGTATAATTAACAGTATAGATTTTTTGTTTTTGTTTTTGATTTTGATACTAATTCATTCTATTGACTAATGTACTTTTCTTCTTTCAACAAACCGCCCGTATCCCACTGAGGCAGGACTAATGTACTTATATAATTTAATAAGCATTGTCACTTATCAATTTCTTATGTACAGTAATGTTATCCTGGTATATTATCAAGTAAAGTTTAAGATTATTATTCTTGAGAATAATGGTAAAATTGTATAATAATTATTAAATTATAGACTGCTCTAATTCATAATGAAAAAAGGTATTAAAAATTTATTTAAGATTTTTTACAATGTTTAACCAGGTTTGTGAATTAGTGAAGGTGGTTAGTGAATGTGATATTGTGCATACATAGTTTTATGTTACATGCAGCTCTTTCAAAACTAATCAAGAGAGACCAGGCATTGTCCATATACTCCTAGTTTCATAAATGATCTAGACTCTGCCTTCATCTGTATGTTGTATCTGTTGTACTTGGAGCATGAAAAATGTAAGAAGTCTGCCTTGTCATCCTTTCTGACATGAGGAGTGATATACTAAACATTTTTTGTAATTTTATGCATGTTTTTGTCATATTCATATTAATGTGTTTGTGCTGTACTTGTTGCAATAAACATATGCTTTGTGGACTGAGGTTCAGTCCTCTTCCATTCCTTGTGCTGTATGACTCACATGGGTTTAGTGCATTACAGGTAATACAAATAATGTGCTGTACTTGTGAGAGTACTTTTCAGTATGCTGTTCTTTGTGTTGGTTTGCCTTATTGGTGTGGAACATTTAATTCATTGATCTCTTGCTCATGTACACTTGTCCAGGGAACCAGATGAGGGGTGCTGCTACTGGCTGATACAAAGTTTGGATGTCTCTTGGATGTATCCTGGATGTAGAGAGCTGCTCTGTCTCTTGGATGTGTTCTGGATGCAAATGCCTGTTCTGTATCTACCTGGTGTGCTCTGAATGTAGAGGGCTGATCTGTATCTACCTGGTGTACTCTGGACGTAGAGGGCTACTCTGTACCTCCTGGATGTATCATGGATGTAGGGGGGCTGCTTTTTATTTCTGAATGTGTCATGGATTTAGAACTGCTTTGTATCTTCTGGATTCATTATGAATGCTGAGAGCTGTTCTGTATTTACTTGATATGTTGTAGGTGTAGAGGGGTACTGTATCTGCTTTGGGTGTTCTGTATGTCAAAGGCTGATCTGTCTGCTGGATGTGTTCTGAATGTGGATGGGACTAATACTCCTAAAATAGGTCTTAAGTGATGACAGTTTGGGTCATCACCAATTTTCCTGCATAGAGCATCTTCTAGCATTCCTGAGTAAATGTTGCAGTAAAGGATATGCTGCAATCTTTGCACGGGTCGGAATCTCCTACAGAAATTTGTTGCTTTAGCACAACAAATCGCTTAAGAACTACTCACCATGCCACAGTAAACAGTACTTTGGTGTTATCTTTCCTTGTCATCCTCTTCCAAATTTGCTTGTTCTTCAAGTTGCATTAACTTCTTGTTATTGAGATCCTTGTCATGAAACCTCATTAACTGTCACATTCTCATAAATTACATGAAATTCATTACACCTGGCAAGGGCCATAATCTTTCTTGTGTACCTCAATAACTGATGGCTGGAATTCATGAATTCATTGGCAGATGCAGGGCACAGGTATTTTTTATGCATTATTCACTGTGGTAACTGACTTCCAGGCTTTATCAATGTTATTATGCCCACTTTTTTTTCCCAACAAGTAAGCCGTCTCCCACCTTGGCAGGGTGACCCAAAAAGAAAGAAAATCCCCAAAACGAAAATACTTTCATCATCATTCAACACTTTCACCTCACTCATCCATTATCACTGTTTTTACAGAGGTGCCCAGATACAGCAGTTAAGAAGCATATATAAAGATAACAATATAAAAAGTGACCTGAAATAATATAATTTAAACTCCCAATAAATATAATACAGGGCCCCAATTTATATATACCATCCTATTACACATCCCTCCAAACTGCCAGTTCCCAAAGCCCTCCTTTAAAGTGCAGGCATTGTGCTTCCCATTTTCAGAACTCAAGTCTGGCCATATAAAAATAACCGGTTTCCCTGAATCCCTACACTAAATATTACCCTCCTCACACTCCAACAGCTTGTCAGGTCCCAAAAATCATTAGTCTCCATTCACTCCTATCTAACATGCTCTTGCACGCTTGCAGGAAGTCCAGTCCCCTCGCCCACAAAACCTCCTTTCCCCCCTCCCTACAACCTTTTTGAGGATGACCCCTACCCCGCCTTCCTTCCCCTACAGATTTATACACTCTGCATGTCATTCTACTTTGATCCATTCTCTCTAAATGACCAAGCCACCTCAACAACCCCTCTTCAGCCCTCTTGACTAATACTTTTATTAACTCGACACCTCCTAATTTCCACACTTCAAATTCTCTGCATAATATTTACACCACACAAGGTAGTAGGTTGGTAGACAGCAACCACCCAGGGAAATACTACCGTCCTGCCAGATGACTGTGAAACAGAAACCTGTAACTGTTTTGCATGATGGTAGGATTGCTGGTTTCTTTTTCTGTCTCATAAACACGCTAGATAACAGGGATATCTTGCTACTCCTACCTACACTTTGGTCACACTTCACAGACACACACATGCATATATATATATACATACATCTAGGTTTTTTCTCCTTTTTCTAAATAGCTCTTGTTCTTCTTTATTTCTTCTATTGTCCATGGGAAGGGGAAAAAGAATCTTTCCTCCGTAACCATGCGTGTCGCATGAGGTGACTAAAATGCCGAGAGCAATGGCTAGTAACCCTTCTCCTGTAGACATTTTCTAAAAAAAGAAAAGAAGAAAAACTTTATAAAACTGGGATGCTTGAATGTGCGGGGATGTAGTTGCGGATGACAAGAAACAGATGATTGCTGAGTTATGAATGAAAAGAAGTCGGATGTCCGGGCCCAAAAGCGAAACAAAGCTGAAGGGGGAAGGGGAGTTTCGGTGGGAGGAAAATAAATGGGATTAAATCTGGGGGTATATAAAGAGAGTTAGAGCAAAGGAAGGGGTAGCAGTAATGTTGAAGGATCAGTTATGGAAGGAGAAAAGAGAATATGAATGTGTAAAATTCAAGAATTATGTGGATTAAAGTAAAGGTTGGATGCGAAAAGTGGGTCATAATAAGCATGTATCCCACCTGGAAGAGAGGAATGCAGAGGAGAGAGAGAGATTTTGGGAGATGTTAAGTGAATGTATAGGAGCCTTTGAACCAAGTGAGAGAGTAATTGTGGTAGGGGACCTGAATGCTAAAGTAGGAGAAACTTTTAGAGAGGGTGTGGTAGGTAAGTTTGGAGTGCCAGAGTAAATGATAATGGGAGCCCTTTGATTGAACTTTGTATAAAAAGGGGGTTTAGTTATAGGTAATACATATTTAAGAAAAAGGGGATAAATAAGTATACAAGATATGATGTAGGGCAAAATGACAGTAGTTTTTTGGGATTTTGAAATTGGTAGATAAAAGACTGTTGAGTAGACTTCAGGATGTACATTTTTTAAAAGAGGGGCCACAGATATATCAGATCACGTTCTAGTTGTAAGCTAAAACTGAGAGTAAAAGGTAGATGGGATACAAGGAGAATAGAAGCATCAGGGAAGAGAGAGGTGAAGGTTTATAAACAAAAGAGGAGGCATTTTAGGGTAAGATATAAACAGCTATTGGAGGATAGATGGGCTAATGAGAGCATAGGCAATGGGGTCGAAGAGGTATGGGGTAGTTTAAAAATGTAGTGTTGAGGTTCAGCAGAAGTTTGTGGTTACAGGAAAGTGGGTGCGGGAGGGAAAGGAGCGATTGGGGAATGATGATGTAAAGAGAGTAGTAAGGGAGAAAAAGTTAGCATATGAGAATTTTTAAACAAAGTAAAGTGGATGCAAGGAGGAAAGAGTATATGGAGAAAAAAGAGAGGTTAAGAGAGTAGTGAAGCAATGTAAAAAGAGAGCAAATGAGAGAGTGGGTGAGATTTTATCAACAAATTTTGTGAATATAAGAAAAAGTTTGGATGAAGATTAACAAGTTAAGGAATCCTAGAGAACAAAGGATTTTTTTTTTTTTTTCAACAAGTCGGCCGTCTCCCACCGAGGCAGGGTGACCCAAAAAAGAAAGAAAATCCCCAAAAGAAAATACTTTCATCATCATTAAACACTTTCACCCACACTCGCACATTATAAACTGTTTTTGCAGAGGTGCTCAGAATACAACAGTTTAAAAGCATACACATAAAAGATACACAACATATCCCTCCAAACTGTCAATATCCCAAACCCCCTCCTTTAAAGTGCAGGCATTGTACTTCCCATTTCCAGGACTCGAGTCCGACTATATGAAAAAACCGGGTTTCCCTGAATCCCTTCACTAAATATTCCCCTGCTCCCCACTCCAACAGATCGTCAGGTCCCAAGTACCATTCTTTCTCCATTCACTCCTATCTAACAACGCTCACGCACGCTTGCTGGAAGTCCAAGCCCCTTGCCCACAAAACTCCTTTACCCTCTCTCTCCAACCCTTTCCCGAGGACGACCCCTTACCCCCCCTTCCTTCCCCTATAGATTTATATGCTTTCCAAAATGGATACATATGGATTTTTTCATTTAAAAAATAGGAGAGGAGAGTTATTAAATGGAGAGTTAGAGGTATTGGAAGATGGGGGGAAAATTTTTTTGAGGAATTGTTTAAATGTTGATGAAGATAGGGAAGCTGTGATTTCGTGAAAGGGGCAAGGGGGAATAACATCTTGTAGGAGTGAGGAAGAGCCAGTTGTGAGTGTGGGGAAGTTCGTGAGGCAGTAGGTAAAAATGAAAAGGGTAAGGCAGCTGGGTTTTGATGGGATAAAGATAAAAATGTTAAAAGCAGGTGGGGATATATTTTTGGAGTGGTTGGTGCAATTTTTTAATAAATGTATGGAAAAGGTAAGGTAACCTGGGGATTGACAGAGAGCATGCATAGTTCCTTTTTTATAAAGGCAAAGGGACAAAAGAGAGTGCAAAAATTATGGGGGGGAGAAGTCCTGTTGAGTATACCTGTAAAGTGTATGGTAGAGTTATTATTGAAAGAATTAAAGTAAGATGGAGAATAAGATAGCAGTTTAACAAGGAGGCTTTAGGAAAGTAGGGGGGTGTGTGGACCAGGTTTTTGCAGTGAAACATATAAGTGAACAGTATTAGAATAAAGGCTAAAGAGTCTTTGTGGCATTTATGGTTTTGGGAAAAAGGCGTATGACAGGGTGGATGGGGGGGCAATGTGGCAGATGTTGCAGGTGTATTGTGTAGGAGGTAGGTTACTGAAATCAGTGAAGAGTTTTTACGGGATAGTGAGGCTCAGATTAGAGTATGTAGGAAAGAGGGAAATTATTTCCCAAAAAGTAGGCCTTAGACAAGGATGTGTGATGTCACCGTGGTTGTTTAATATATTTTATAGATTGGGGTTGCAAGAGAAGTAAATGCGAGGGTCTTTGGGAAGAGGCATGGGGTTAAAAGATGAAGAATCACACACAAAGGGGAGTTGTCACAGTTACTTTGCTGATGACACTGTGCTCTTGGGAGATTCTGAAGAGAAGTTGGGAGGATTGATGGATTTAATTTGGTAGGGTGGGCAAAGAAAAAAAATTAAAAGGTAATACAAGGGGAAAGAGAAGGTTATGAGGATAACAAAAGATTAGGTGATGAAAGAAATTGGGTATCAGATTGGAGGGAGAGAGTATGGAGGAGGTGAATGTATTCAGATATTTTGGAGTGGATGTGTCAGCGGATGGGTCTGTGAAAGATGAGGTGAATCATAGAATTGATGAGGGAAAAGAGTGAGTGGTGTACTTAGGAGTCTGTGGAGACAAAGAACTTTGTCCTTGGGGGCAAAGAGGGGAATGTATGAGAGTATAGTTTTACCAACCTCTTATATGGGTGTGAAACATGGGTGATGAATGTTTGCAGCGAGGGGGAAGGCTGGAGGCAGTGGAAGATGTCATGTCTGAGGGGAATGTGTGGTGTGAATATAATGCAGAGAATTCGTAGTTTGGGGAAGTTAGGAGGAGGTGCGGGATTACCAAAACTGTTATCCAGAGGGCTGAGGAAGGGTTGTTGAGGTGGTTCGGACATGTAGAGAGAATGGAGCGAAACAGAGTGACTTCAAGAGTGTACAGTCTGTAGTGGAAGGAAGGCGGGGTAGGGGTCGGCCTAGGAAAGGGTTTGGAGGAGGGGTAAAGGAGGTTTTGTGTGCGAGGGGTTGGACTTCTAGCAGGCATTTCCCTGAGCGTGTTGATAGTGAATGGAGACAAATGGTTTTTAATACTTGACATGCTGTTGGAGTGTGAGCAAAGTAACATTTATGAAGGGGTTCAGGGAAACCGGCAGGCCGGACTTGAGTCCTGGAGATGGGAAGTACAGTGCCTGCACTCTGAAGGAGGGGTGTTAATGTTGCAGTTTAAAAACTGTAGTGTAAAACAAACCCCTTTTGGCAAGACAGTGAAAGGAGTGAATGATGGTGAAAGTTTTTCTTTTTCGGGCCACCCTTCCTTGGTGGGAATCGGCCAGTTTGATAATAAATAAAAAAAATAACATTGCCCTTAGACAGGATATCTCCACTGCCTCCAACCGCCTCCTCGCTGCAGCATTTACAACCCAAGCTTCACACTCATATAAGAGTGTTGGTAAACCCCTATAAACGTTTTTTGTCTCTACATATAAACCCCAATCTAGGTAGTAGGTTGGTAAACAGCAAAACCCCCCAGGGAGGTACTACCGTCCTGCCAAGTGAGTGTACAACGAAAACCTGTAATTGTTTTACATGAACATAAGAACATAAGAAAGGAGGAACACTGCAGCAGGCCTGTTGGCCCATACTAGGCAGGTCCTTTACAATTCATCCACTAACCATAACCCCCGGCCAAGATTTAACCCGCGGTCATAGAGTCTCAAAACTCCAGCCCGTCGCGTTAGCCACTAGACCAGCTAGCCACAGGAAACGTTTCGCCACACAGTGGCTTCATCAGTCCATACAAAGGAGAATCTTGAAGAACAGGAGGAGAATGAGGTAATCAGTCCCTCAACCTTGAGTCGATGTGGTCAGTCCATCAATCTTGAATAGAATACGGCATACGTGCTGAGAAGGAGCTTATAAACCGTTGGCAGGAGAGGTGCAGCAGTCATAGGTCGTGTAACATTTGTTCAATGTTGAAGTAGGTCGTGCCCAAGAATTAGGCAAGCGAAGAATTCCCAAGTATTAAGATCCCAAAAGTTGCAGTGTCTGACAGGTTTGTAGATGAATGGTTCAGAGAACCGACATGTTGATAAATTAGACACATGTGCAACTCTTGGGTATCTTTATTGAGGAAAAAGTTTCGCCACACAGTGGCTTCATCAGTCCATACAAAGGGGAATCTTGAAGAACAGGGGGGAGAATGAGGTAATCAGTCCCTCAACCTTGAGTCGATGTGGTCAGTCCCCTCAATCTTGAATAGAATACGGCATACGTGCTGAGAAGGAGCTTATAAACCGTTGGCAGGAGAGGTGCAGCAGTCATAGGTCCCTGTAACATTTTTTCAATGTTGAAGTAGGTCGTGCCCAAGAATTAGGGAAGCGAAGAATTCCCAAGTATTAAGATCCCAAGAAGTTGCAGTGTCTGACAGGTTGTAGATGAATGGTTCAGAGAACCGACAGTGATAAATTAGACACATGTGCAACTCTTGGGTATCTTTATTGAGGAAACGTTTCGCCACACAGTGGCTTCATCAGTCCATACAAAGGAGAATCTTGAAAAACAGGAGGAGAATGAGGTAATCAGTCCTCAACCTTGAGTCGATGTGGTCAGTCCATCAATCTTGAATAGAATATGGCATACGTGCTGAGAAGGAGCTTATAAACCGTTGGCAGGAGAGGTGCAGCAGTCATAGGTCGTGTAACATTTGTTCAATGTTGAAGTAGGTCGTGCCCAAGAATTAGGCAAGCGAAGAATTCCCAAGTATTAAGATCCCAAGAAGTTGCAGTGTCTGACAGGTTTGTAGATGAATGGTTCAGAGAACCGACATGTTGATGATTGTAGGATTGCTGGTGTCTTGTCTGTCTCATAAACATGCAAGATTTCAGGTATGTCTTGCTATTTCTACTTGCACTTAGGTTACACTACACTTACATGTTCAAGCATATACAGTGGACCCCCGCTTAACGATCACCTCCAAATGCGACCAATTATGTAAGTGTATTTATGTAAGTGCGTTTGTACGTGTATGTTTGGGGGTCTGAAATGGACTAATCTACTTCACAATATTCCTTATGGGAAAAAATTCGGTCAGTACTGGCACCTGAACATACTACTGGAATGAAAAAAGTTCGTTAACCGGGGGTCCACTGTATTTATATACACACCCCTCTGGGTATTCTTCTATTTTCTTTCTACTTCTTGTTCTTGTTTATTTCCTCTTATCTCCATGGGGAAGTGTAACAGAATTCTTCCTCCGTAAGCCATGCGTGTTGTAAGAGGCGACTAAATTGCCGGGAGCAAGGGGCTAGTAACCCCTTCTCCCGTATAAATTACTAAATTTAAAAGAGAAACTTTCGTTTTTCTTTTTGGGCCACCCTGCCTTGGTGGGATACGGCCAGTGTGTTGAAAGAAAGAATATACCTCAATGGTTAACCTCATCGAACATAAACCCATCCGCTGACACGTCAACTCTCAATTATCTGAAAACACTCACTTCTTCCATACTCCTTCTCTCCAGTGTGATATTCTATTTTTGTTTTAAATTTTTTATGCCCATGGTGTTATATATTCTCCAAAATTCCTTGATTATTTGTTTCTCCTTTTCATCAGTGAGTTGGAAGAGGGCTTTCTATAAACATTTTGACTTGAATAACTTTTATTATTAGTATAACTTGAATAACTTTTAGTAATAGTACAATTATTTATTTATTGACTCATGGTTATGGGGTTCTTGGGTAGAAATGCATCTCTGACATGTTTGGAAACATCATTCAATTGAATTAGATGCATTTTTATATTAACAGTAAGCAGGAATGCCTAGTGGGCAAGGTTGTAGTCAGCAGTCTTTTTTTTAAAAGATGGCAAAAAATATCATTTAAACCACTCCATACAAATGATATTAATAATGTTGGCATGCCAAGCTTCAGGAAAATTGCCTTTCTTGATGTGCTTCTTTGCTTGGACTGATCTGAATTCTGGATTCTTCTTCTCATTTCTTGATATGAATGTTCTTAATGGCATTCATTTCCAGAGTTCCAGTATAGCCATGTTTTTTCATTGATAAAACCTTGCTTATAAGAAGCATCAGCCTCAGGTTCAGCACTCAAGCCTCACTACTCATTGTCAGGTTATACAAGTTGTCATGCTTCCTGAATCTACTAAACCTCTCTTCATTAGTATTTAATGTAAAATGCTGGGTAGCCTCAAGATTTTTGACACCTATCCTAACAAGTTTGTGAATTGTGTGTACCGAGATAAACTGAATTGCTGTGCTTGTTTTAAAAAGATTGTGGATGTATGTGTTTAGAAAAAATACAATATGTTTAGTTGCTGGTCGACTAAAAGTATGCCTAAGGTTTCATACTGCACTGTTGGATGCAGTGCTCTGCAGTATAAATGTTTCAGTGCATGACAATCTTAACTTGTGTTCTGTTTTATATTAAAAATTAATTATGCAGACTGCTTTGCACGCCCAACTACTCCAACCTAAGATGGAATGCCTCAAAGGAGAATCCAACTTTGACTGCATGGCTGCCATCAAGAAACGGTAAGTTATATTGCTTTAATGTATTTTTGGTACTTAAAATGGAATATGTGTTCAAAGAAAATGTGTGTATGCTATATGTATGCTAGGATTAAATTCACTTTTGCACTGGGATGTGTGCATGTATGTATTGAGACTGTTTTCACATGTGCTGTGATGTGTACATGAATGTCTACAGAGACATATTCATTTGCATGTAGACATATTTCATTGTTTTAAATGTTTTGTAGGGGACAAATGTATCATAAGTATGTGCTAGGTTTGTGGTACACCGAAAGTTTACATGCACATAATAAAGAGTCCAGGTATGGTTTGGTAACAGCACCGACCAGGGGGTACATCCCCTCAAGCGGTGAAAGACGAAAGCCGTAAATTTTTTCATGAGGGTAGGATTGTGGTGTCCTTTTTTCTGTTCTAAACATGAAGATTTCAGGTAGTTTTGTACTTCATTTACACTTGGGTCACATACACATACATTTTTTTTTTTTTTTCCAACAAGTCGGCAGTCTCCCCCCGAGGCGGGTGCCCCCAAAAAAAGGGAAAAGAAAACCCCCAAAAAAAAAATACTTCCCACATTCAACATTTTCCCACACTCACACATTATCATGTTTTTGGAGGGCTCAGTACAAAGTTTAGAAGCATATAGAAAAAAAAAAGATACCAACATCCCCCCCTCCAAACTGCCAATATCCCAAACCCCCCCTCTTTAAAAGGAGGATTGTATTTCCCATTTCCGGGATTCAAGCCCCGCTATATGAAAAAAAACCGGTTTCCCTGAATCCTTCATAAATTTACCCTGTTTAACTCCAAAATCATCAGGTCCCAAGTATCTTCGCTCCATTCATCCTATCTAATACGCTCACGCACGCTTGGGGAAAGTCCAAGCCCTCGCCCAAAAAAACCCCTTTTACCCCCTCTCCCAACCCCTTTTGGGACGCCCTACCCCTCCTTCCTTCCCCCATAGATTTTTTGTGCTTTCCATGTCATTCTACTTTGATCCATTCTCTCTAAATGACCAAACCACCTCAACAACCCCTCTTCTGCCCTCTGACTAATGCTTTTATTAACTCCACACCTTCTCCTAATTTCCACACTCGAATTTTCTGCATAATATTTACACCACACATTGCCCTTAGACAGGACATCTCCACTGCCTCCAACCGTCTCCTCGCTGCTGCATTTACCCACCCAAGCTTCACATCCATATAAGAGTGTTGGTACCACTATACTTTCATACATTCCTTTCTTTGCCCCATAGATAGCGTTTTTGACTGCACATATACCTCAACGCACCACTCACCTTTTTTCCCTCATCAATTCTATGATTAACCTCATCCTTCATAAATCCATCCGCCGACACGTCAACTCCCAAGTATCTGAAAACATTCACTTCTTCCATACTCCTCCTCCCCAATTTGATATCCAATTTTTCTTTACTAAATCATTTGAACCCTCATCACCTTACTCTTTTTCTATGTTCACTTTCAACTTTCTACCTTTACACACATTCTCAAACTCATCCACTAACCTTTTGGGCAATTTTTCTTTAGAATCTCCCATAAGCACAGTATCTTTCAGCAAAAAGTAACTGTGTCAATTCCCATTTTGAATTTGATTCCCCATAATTTAATCCCACCCCTCTTCCGAACACCCTAGAAATTTACTTCTTTTACAACCCATCTATAAATATTTAAACAACCTGGTGACATTACACATCCCTGTTAAGACCTACTTTTACCGGGAAGTATTCCCCTCTCTTCTACACCCCCCTAACCTGAGCCCCAGTATACCCATAAAAACTCTTAACAGCATTTAGTAACTTACCACCTATTCATATACTTGCAACATCTGCCACATTGCTCCTCTATCCACTGGATCATATGCCTTTTCTAAATCCCATAAATGCAATAAAAACTTCCCTACCTTTATCTAAATACTGTTCACATATATGCTTTCAATGTAAACACTTGATATACACATCCCTACCCACTCTGAAGCCTCCCTGCTCATCTGCAATCCTACATTCTGTCTTACCTCTAATTCTTTCAATTATAACCCTTTCCGTATACTTTTCCTGGTATACTCAGTAAACTTATTCCTCTATAATTTTTACAATCTCTCTTGTCCCCTTTCCCTTTATGTAAAGGGATTATACATGCTCTCTGCCAATCCCTAGGTACCTTCCCCTCTTTCATACATATATTAAACAAAAGTACCAACCACTCCAACACTATATCCCCCCTGCTTTTAACATTTCTGTATGATCCCATCAGTTCCAGCTGCTTTACCCCCTTTCATTCTACATAATGCCTCACGTACCTCCACCACACTTATATTCTGCTCTTCTTCACTCCTAAAAGATGGTATACCTCCCTGGCCAGCGCATGAAATTACCGCCTCCCTTTCTTCCTCAACATTTAAAAGTTCCTCAAAATATTCTTGCCATCTACCTAATACCTCCCTCTCCCCATCTACTAACTCACCTACTTTGTTTTTAACTGACAAATCCATACTTTCCCTAGGCTTTCTTAACTTGTTTAACAAGCATATATATACACACCCCTCTGGGTTTTCTTCTATTTCCTTTCTAGTTCTTTTTGTTTATTTCCTCTTATCTCCATGGGGAAGTGGAACAGAATTCTTCCTCCATAAGCCATGCGTGTTGTAAGAGGCGACTAAAATGCCGGGAGCAAGGGGCTAGCAACCCCTTCTATGAATTACTAAATTTAAAAAGATAAAGTTTGTTTTTCTTTTTGGGGCACCCTGCCTTGGTGGGATATGGCTGGTTTGTTGAAAAAAAAAAAGTTAGTCTGCCTTTTTTTTTTTTTTGTTGTTGGTCCGTGTATGTGGTCTTATATACTCTTCTGCATTTCTATGCCCCTTAAACTATATTCTGTGGTGAGTAGTTCTATTGATTTTTCTTATGATATTGTAGAGCATGTAAAATAGAACATCTGAAACATGGGTAAACAATGTGAATCGCATTACCTTTCTGTGAAGTAAAGAGCCTAAAGTTCAACGATGAAAGTTGATACAATCTCACACAGCAACTATGTACTATGATACGTAAACAATTACTATATTCAATTAAATTTTTTCTTCTCTTTTACACTACACACAGATGACTTGCACCTTACAGCTGATCAGTGTATATACTTCCTAAAGCATGGTAACAATTTTTTATTTTTTTTTTTTACTTACAGAAAGTTTCAGATATGCTTCTGTTTGTTTTACACCTATTTCATTCATATATTATTAATCTTCAAAACCATATGCAATTTAACCCTTTGAGGGTCGACAGGCCCTCTCTGAGACTCGTTCTCAGGGTCAGCCAAATTTAAAAAAAAAAAAAAATAATTTTCTCTTATGAAAGATAGGGAATCTTTTGCCGATCATAATGACACCAAAAGTTTGAAATTTGATGGAAAACTTACAGAATTATGCTCTCGCAAAGTTAGCGGTCTCGGCGATGTTTACGCATCAGCGATTTTGCCCACTTTGAGCCTCATTTTCGGCCAATTCCACTATACTAGTCGACAAAAAACATGAATATTTCGCTAGAACTCCATTTTTTCTATCGAATGAGTGCAAGAAACCACCCATTTATCAATTGCAACTATCCAGTACAGTGGTCAGAATTTAGCAATTTTGCCAATTTCACAAATTTCAAAAGATACCAATTTCCGAATAGGGTCCAGAATAAACAAGAAAGACATTCCTGGCACTAAAATGACATTTCCTCTGTTCATTAGTCACGTCTCAAGGCCCCTCTTATATTCTTTTGCTTTCCACTTTGAATTTTTATTCTCACAAAAAATAGAAGATTTACTGTTATGCAGACTACTGCATTAGTGTAAAAAATGGTATAAATAATATTGGCGCACTTGCAAAAGAATATTAGACTCACCAGTTGACGTGTATTGGAACCTTGGCATGATTTGTTTACTTTTGAACTTTGGTAAAAATCGAACATTTCTACTACTTTGAGCTCAATTTCTTGAAGGTACTTTTCATTGTAAAACCAGTCGAAATAATCTCAATTTCTGTAATATGTCTTCCATTCTATAAAATGAGACCAAGAAAACTAGAATACAACAATAAATACCATACGAAAATACAGTGCAAAGTGGCTGTTTTATTCCAAAAAAACGGTCAGTTTTTTTTTCTCATTATGCACTGTGTGCTGCAGGATTTTTTTTATACTGTGCACACTGACCACATAGACCCATTCTTTCATATGTAGGCCTAACAGCTTTCTCCCACTAGATTTGAGGGCGCTAGAATTTAGGCGTACTAGTACGTCAAAAACCCTGGGTCGTAAGCCGTACTAGTACGGCCAAAACCCTCAAAGGGTTAAATATCAACACTAGTATTACTGTCACTGGTGTTTGGAATACTATTACATTATACAGTGTTAGGTGTTATGTTCTCATTTTATATCATCCTCTTGCCATAGACTCTTGCTTTATTAACAAATGTGGAAATTGAGATGGTTTGTTCATTTAGAAAGACTGGAGCAAAATATGCTGACCAAGAGGATGTATAAATCTGGGGTAGATAGAAGAGGAGGGGTGGAGGATGTCCAAGAAGGGTTGAAGGGAAGATGTGAAGGTTTTGAGCAGTGTGTGAGGAATTGAGCATCAAGCAAATGTGTGTCTGAGTGTTAGGTCAAAGTTAGTGGAGAGAAGTGTTTTTTGGATTTGACATTCTGTTTTAATGAGGGGGTAACATTTTTGAAAGAATTCAGGGAAACTAGTTAGCCAGATTTGAATCCCAGAGGTGAAAAGCACAGTGCTGCCATATGAGAGAGGTGTATGTAAGAATTTGCAGGGTCATTTGAATCTGTTTTTGTACTGACATCTTTTTTTTTTATAATTGCAACATAAGTACATTCAATGTAAAATTATAATAATTTTCTTTTAATACCTCTCTAGGGAAGCAGATGTGGCTGTATTTGAGGCTGGAGACATTTATAGTGCAGGACTTACACACGAGTTGGTACCTATAATGGCTGAGCAGTACAATCTTGAAACCCTTGAATATTATGTTGTGGCTGTGTCAAAGGAGGATGATCCTGATACTGATGTACTCTATCTGAAAGGTGAGAGGCAGTTAAGTTGATGATAATGAAGGTTATATGCTCTCTCTTCTTAGCCAATAGTTTCAGTGTGGACTTAAAAATCCTCTCCTACCTATCCTTCCCATGGAGTCTAAGACCTTAGAAAAAGACAGTAGTATGTGTTTTTATATTCAGTTATTACTAAAATCTTGATGTTTAGGTTTTCTGACAAATGTGTAGAAAGCAGTACCTTCATTCTGGAGGAGGAGTTGGAATGTTGTATTTTGGAAGGTCATTTGAATAGTTATGTCAGCATACTTCTGTCATGACAACTATTGAATGAATGAAAATGAAAGTGGTTCCATTTTTTTTCCTGGGGGGATGGGGGATCACCCCTACTTTGGTGGGAGATGGCTTGTATCTAAATTAAAAAAATAAAAAAAGTGTTTGGCATGCAATATTTGTATTGACTCAGTGTAGCATTACTAGCCTAGATATTGTAGCTCATTGGAAATTACAGTGGTACCTCGGTATATGACCTTAATTAATTCCAGAAGGCTGTTCAAGTGCCGATCTCTTTGAGCACCGAATGAATTTGTTTCCATAAGGACTAATGTAAAGTAGATTAATCCATTTCAGACCCCCAAAAGCATTTACAAAAACACACTTACAATGTACAGTGGAACTTCAAATTTCGAACTTAATCCGTTCCAGGAGCTAGTTCTAAATTCAAAAAGTCTGAAATTCGAAGCAATATTTTCCATAAGAAATAATGGAAATACAATTAATCCGTTCCAGAAACCCAAAAATATTCACAAAAAAAATTTTTATGAGTTAAATTTTCAGTTTTCACACAAAAAATCTTAGCCCCTTTAATTATGTATAGTAATAAAAAAAACATTTTTACTTACCTTTTTGAAGTTTTGCGATGCATCGGGAAATGGGGGAGGAGGAGAGAGGGAGTTGGGGGTTATTGTTTGGAAAGAGGACCCCCTCCATGAGGATTCCCGGGTTTTCCCAAAGCCCTCTCTGGGGTTTTGCTTCCCCGTTTCTGTTTTTAATCCACGGCCCTTGAATAATTGGCCCCGTCCACAAAATAATTTCCACAGTCGTCGTTTCGTCTCAAAATAACTGTCCACAATCTCTTTTTTCCAAAAAATAACTCCACTCGTTGTTTGTTCACAAAATAACTGTCCAAATGCTGTTTCTCAAAAAATAACTCCCTTTCCTGTTTCTGTCTCACAAAAAAACTCCCAGTCGTCTGTTTCTCACAAAATAAGTCCACATTTTGTCGTTTCTGTTCACAAAAAAACTCCACAGTCTCTGTTTCTTCTCACAAAATAATTGTCCACAGTTCTGTTTTCTGTCTCACAAAAAAACTGTCCACAGTCCTCTGTACCCGGCAAGCTCAAAAAGTCTCATCCAGTCAGGTTGTAGGATTTTTTTTCCTCTTTCCAAACGGGGGAAAGAATGCTTTAAACATGGCGATGGCACCCCAAACACCAGCTACGCCAGACGTACAACTAGCGAAGTGAAGTTCCATTTTTACTGACGTTCATCTGTTTCATAGCATCATATCGTACCACCTCAATCCCCCCGCCCCAGTGCTAACAGAGGGAAAAAGAGAAAACGTCAAATCAACAGTACAAAACTCCAAGGTTTAGGAGGGGTTTTCCCCTCGTCAGTCGTGGGAAAGAAGTAATAGTTAAACAGTCAAGGTTAATGTTTTAGTAGGTGACCTATATTCAGCTGACCATGTACAGTGAGAAAAATTATAGCAAAAAAATGCCAAATATATCTATAAATAGGAAAGTCAGGGTGGTGGCGTTTATTTCCCCTCATTTTTTAAAAAAAGGCCGAGTCAAGCAGATCAGGTCAGGCGACAACACCCCCACACAACCCCCGATAAAGGGAATTGGGGGGGTTTTTGGGAAGGATAAAACCTTGATTAAACCTTTTGGGTACCAAAGGAAAGGGTTAAATTTTAGTAGGGGCCCGGGACGTGAAGTGAGGGGGGAAAGGGGGAGTGGTAATAAGGGGTTAATAAAAGGGGGTTTTTGTGAAGTTAAGGGGAAAATTTAGCATAAAAAGGGTTTTTTGAAGAAAAAAATTTACAGTAATTCAGTGGTGATTGCTAAACAATACTAGGGTGTCTAGGGACTGGAAAAGAGAAATAAATATATTGTTTTGAGTAAAAGAGAAAAAGGGGAAAAAACAGGCTTTAGGGGGGTACGGGCTGCCAAATTATATTTATCTTTTTCTTCAATTCCATGAAGAAAAAAATCAGTCAGGGGGGGAAAAGGTGAAGGGAGAAACAGCCCCGGACAGAAAAGCCCAACAGTTGCCATCCTCCAAAAAAGTAAATGTACTATCGCTGAAAGGGTAGGGAAAACCCCGCATACCCAAACAAAAACAGTGGCACTCACTTTTATTGTAGCGCTCAAAAAAGTGGTGATATCCAAAAAAAAACCAGGCCCCAAAACTATTGTGCAGGGGAAAAAACAGACAAAAAAAAGACGGTGATAAGACGGTTGTAGCTAGGAATTTAAAAACCCTTAACTCATAGTAATCATACTGGTCAATGTACAAAATCAGCCATTTTTATCTAAAACACTACCAAACAGGTGCTACACGTACTAAAGTACGCAAAAAAAACAGAAAAGACACCTTATGTAAAATGTGTAAGGGGGGGGGGCTGATGGAGTATGTACAATTATATAAGGGGTGCCAGAATTCATTTTGTGTGTAACAAATGCATTTGGCACATTTACCCTTTAACAATGATGACATTGATTTACCTAATTTAAAAACAATGACCCATTGCCATATCGATGATTATAATTTTTTTAGAAAACGGGCCCTTTCACTTTTTTTCATGTCAACGCAAGATCACTTCTTTCCTAAATTGGCAAGATTAGGTTTTCTAGCAAACAAAATTAGGGGGCAGTTAAACCCATCTCTAAACCCCCGGTTGGTATGGGTACTGATATGGGGTCAAAATAGATGGTTTCAAATAAAATTTTAGATAGGAACAGAAAGGGTGGTGGAGTATGTGCCTACTTTAGAAAAACTTAGTTTAAAACCCCAAGACCTGATTTAAATAACATTAAACTGGAGATTCTATGGTTTGAAGTGGTTTCCCAAGACCAAACCCATCTTATAGGAACTATTACCCCCCCTCCCACCCGGGACCAGTTTTAAAGATTTTTTCCAAGTATTGTCCAACTTGAAAACAATTGCGAGACGACAATACGGGGCGTTCAATATTGTTTTCAGCAGCAAAATAACGGCTATGCAAAAGGTATAAGCAAATTCAGATTTAAATAGTTACACTCACTAATTAATACACCAACCCGGATCACACAGTTCTCAGCCACCCTAATTGACCACATATTTTAAAACTGCTCTGAAACATAGTCAGCGGCTCATTACCACAGGCCTTAGTGTCATTTCATCATTTTACTGCCCCAGGAAAATCACTAGGGATGGGATAGGCCTACCAGGACAATAAAAATGAGGTCAAAATAAAACTACAGTAAAGAAACTGGGAAATAACACAATTGTGACTGGGACAGGAAACAAGTTGCAGGACTAAACGTGCGGGAAAAAATTTTAAAAAAAATTTCACTACCATCCTTGAAAATATTGCAAACCGTTAAAAAGGGGTTTGATTAAAACAAAAATGAACCCTGGATGAAAATGAGATATTAATATGAAATTCAAAACCCCTCTAAAAAAATTTTAAAACAACAGACAGGGTATTGCAGCCAAATAAATGAATTCCAAAAGGGTGAGGAACAAAAGTACAGGGAATTAAAAAGGGGCAAAGGCAAAGCGCTATTGCTCAAAAATTGAAGATAATAAAAATAACCCCAGAAAGCTTGGCAACAACCCCAAAACAGTTGGGGTATGGGCCCTAAGCCAGGAAGGTTAAAAGTACTCATTCGATAATGAGGTATGGGCCACGAAAAATCTAAGGGGGCAAATTTCTTTAATTCCCTACAAACTGTTGCATCAAAAACTATAAGTAAACTACCAGTGCATCAAATACCTTTAACACAGACTTTTGATAAATTTCAAACCAAATATACCAATAAGGGGGAACCCCCCAAAAAGATGTCAACTAGTAAGTTTATCTCATGATTTAAATTCAAAAAGAATAAGTAGGTTAAACCCAACTAAGAGCACGGCCCCATAAACCCCTCAATTCCTAAAAGATGGTGCTTTTTAACTGTCAATCCCTATTTCTCACATAATAAAACTATCAATCCCACTAATACCGTCCGGAGGGTTTTAAGGAGGCCCAAATTACTCCTTCTTAAGAAAAAAAAGTAGGTCTGATGTCAGCAAATATAGGCCTTTAGTATACTCATATAATATCCAAAAAAATTCCCAGAGAGGGCGGTTTTTACCTCAATATTTTTACCTTAAGACAAATTCTCCAAAAGCTACAAACGGGCTTTTGAAGATTTTTCCAATCGCACCTCCCTAATTAAACTATGGATTCCTGAAACGAAATGTCAAAAAAGGGGAAACCCAAGGTATGGTAACCTTGACCCGCAAAAGGCCTTTTATACTGTCAAAACCCCAATTATTAGTAGAAACTTCAAGCTATCGGTATAGGTTCTGTAAATGGTTTAATCCCACCTAGCAAAAGGGACAAATTGTCAAAATCAACAAACGGAATCAGAACCCCTGCCAAACATGTGGAGTTCCCCCAATTAGTATTTTGGGTCCCTTTTTATTCTTATTTATTCAATGACATCCTATCAGTGTCAAGGCAAACTCTTACTGATCAGATACAGTGCCCTGTTTGTCAGGGGAAAGACCCACAAGATTAGCTAATGTTTTAACACTGGAACGGGTCCTGCAGCAAATGGGTTTGAACAACAAATATCATTCACCTTGGGGGAAAAATGAAGCCATTCCTTTGGCACGAAACATAAATGAGAAGGTAAATAATTTTTAAAGTCCGTGTAAGGGGGGGCCCACACTTTGGTTTCATCAGTAAAAAATCTGGGAATCCCCTTTGACCCATGCATGTCAGGAGAATTTTT